TTAATCTAACAAAATAAGTATCTTTTAAAATGCTTTCTGTATTTTCCATTTCAAAGATGGGTTTCAAAATGTGCATATTTCTGCAAAGATCCCCCTCCTTCTCTTAATAATAAATATTTTGAGTTACTTTCTTTTTCTTTGATATAAAAATAGTGTAAGCTTTTGTTTAATTGTTTCACATCTACTGTAAACATTATAATTGATTATAGGAAACTATATCAAATGTTGCCCCCTACAGATGGGGTAATTATTGATCACTGGGATAATTCCTGATCATTTTCATTTCTTCTTATAAATAGTATAAAAAATAACTAATAAATAGTTAATTGTCTTTTCTTAAATAACAGTTCATATTTATTAAGTGGAACAACTATAAAATCCATTTTAACTATAATGACAAAATTTGATTTTAACTGTATATAAGACAAATGTGTTCTGATATACACCATTTCTAGCTTGTCTTACCTTTCTTCTATCTTAATTTTATGTGTGTTCATTGTTAGAATAATTTTTAAGTTGATAAATTAACCTAATATAAATATGGTGAGAAATTATAAGCCTGAAAAGGATACTAAGCTTCTAGAACGCAAAAATAGCAAATTTCTTTTAATGATTGAAAATGAAAATTTCAGTGTGAGAGCTGCTGCCACAGCTGAAGTGTTAATAAACATTTACTTTTAAATAAAAAATTTTAATAGCTGCTTGAAAATATCTTTTTGATTTATTTGTTTGATCTTAATGTCTTATTTGTTAATTACCATTGTATAATTATTTTTAAACAGCCCATTTACTATAAAAACTGGTGATCTGTAATTACCCCAGAAATGATCAGAAATTACCCCAGAAATGATCAAGAGAAGGGGTAATTCCTGATCACTAAAAATTTAAAATCTTTTAAATTCTATTTAGACTTTCAAACAAAAGAAGGTAGCATAGAACTCATCTCATATAACCTCAAATTTCCAGTAAATATTAAAATTCTATCTTGAATAGTTTTTTCACAAAATAGATGTTTGCATTTTTTGATCAGGAATTACCCCAGGTCACCCTATATTTTATCATATTAAACATTCTTTAGTTAATTGATGATCAATCAATCTCTAAGAAAATGTTGTATGATATTAATGTTAATTATTTGTTATTTTTTATTGAATTATGCATATTTCGACTTGTTTATCTTAAAAACCTATTGTTCCTAAAAATCTATTTTCAAAATTCCATCAATTCTAAATATGGGACATTTTACTGTATTTATCTTTACATATCTTCTCCACATAGTAAACCTATGTTATGCTTCTTCTACGTTATAAGAAAAGGACATTCTTCAAATTTGGCTCTACGGTATTAGAGGATTAACACATTTTTATTGCCATGAGAATTTTTAAGCATCCTTTTAAAATTTAATATCATTGTATTGGTCTTTTATACAAAATATTCATTCTATTCAAATAAATTGCTAGAATAGAATGTTTTCAAACGTTTAAAATTTCTCTCTCTTTAAAATATAATTTATTTTCCTTTTTTTAATTAAAAAAATTCTTGTTTATTTACAGATGCCTCAGTGGAAAGAGAAGAATGAAAAAGCAGGATATAATAATCCTGAAAGTTTTTCAGAGCTATTAATTCTCCTGGAATCTAATGATTCAGATACTGTTAATTCATTGAAGGAAGTGATTCGGAATACTCTCTACAGCAGTAAGACTATTTATATTATTTGGTAGCAGTATGACTATTTAGTTTTCTTTATATTCTTTTATTTAGTAAGCCTTTATCTTATTTCTTCTCTTAAAAAATTTTGATTTTATGTTTCATGAGAAGCAATCTTCCCTTTTAATAAATACTGTAATAATTCATATTTAGTTAATTATAATAATTTTTAAGCATAGATTATATATCAAATATATTTATTTATACTTAAGAAATAAACAGCCCTTATCCTGATATTACTTAAGTATGTGTAGGCCAGGATAGCGTGGTCTGTAGGGCGTTGGGCCCATGTCCGAGAGTTCATGGGTTCGAACCCCGCCGACCGAAGACTCTCCATGTAGTAAAGTGACTGATGCACATTAAATCTGTCGAGTCGCAAAAGTCCTCCATGTTCCCATAACAAATCAATACCTGAGGGGGTACTGGATTGGAGATCGATTGTTCTCTGATTCAGGTCAAAATTACGATCTGTGGCTGTATGAATGGGTCCGACGTATGGTGTGGCAGAAGTCGAATTCTTGGCCATAAATGACGCCACTACAAAACAAGAAATGCACATTCTGCCTTAAATTTGCTCGGTTTCACCAAGCAGGCTTGCCCATATGGCAAGTGGCATTAGAAACAACAACTTAAGTATGTGATTGCTTGAATCAAATTGTAGTTCAGTAAAATCTGTGTCTATTGACTACCACTTCACGTGCATCGTGGTTTACCTTAGTGATTACCTTCGAAAAGTCGTCCACAAATTGAAAGGGTGACTCATTGTCAGATCATGCTTTTTTCCTATTTCTTATGTTTGGTGAGTCAGTCTTATTGATGCATGTTATTTAAATTTTAACATGATTTTCCAATACATATAAAAGAATGAGGTTAAGCTTACCCCTGACCTTCTAGTTTTTATCATAGGACATTAAACTAATTTAGTTTTTGCAGTTGGTTTCAACATGAATGTCAAAATATCTGAGTCATTTCACCTTAAGGAGATATTCCCAGAAATTCTTTTATGCAGATATGATCATATCAGTATGCCGTGAAATTTTTATTTAATTGTGTTAATGACTGAAGTTAATTTTAAAATCTTTACTTAAATATTGGATTTAACATTTGCATATTTTTCTGTTACCCAAAGCTCTGTTAATCTGTAAATGAGTTTTTGATAATTTAAAATAATTTTTATCTTAGAAATATAGTTTATACACTATAAAATAATTTTTTTTAAATGTTATTTAAAGCATTTTTGATATTAAAACAATCTTATTCCTGCATTCTAAAGATGGGGGAGCTAATAATTTTCAAATGGAGACTTACCTGATTTAATCTAAATTTCTGTTATTACTTTGGAAATTTTTTTCTGAAAGCAAACTTAAAAGTTGGTACATGAATTGTCAAGCTATTATTCTATTGATATTTTGAAAGGTTTATAAAAATAAAACTTTCAGCAGGATTCTTTTTCTCAATTTTATTTATCATTATTTATTTATTTATCGTAGGATCATAATAAATAAATTTAATGTAAACAATAAATAATAAAATATTCACAATAAGTCATAAGAAATAAAGTAAATTCTTATTTTCAACTAATTCTTTCTAATAATCTTATATATTTATATTTTCTACTTAATTAATTAGATATTTATTTTTGTAGCATAACATTGATTTGTAAGCAATAACAATATGTTCAGCAATAAAATTAATTATTACATTTGAAAATATAACCATTTAATAAAAATTTTCTGAAAATTTTAAAAATTATTAAGCATTGGAAAGATACGAATTAAATTTTTAAAAAAATATTTAAGATAGTGTTTAACTTTTTTTTAAAAAATGGTTTATTATTTGAGATTTCAATATTATTTAAACATTTCAAGTTATAATAACTCATTGGATATTGTAATTTTTAGATAAGGATTCTAAACTTCTGAACAGTTTGATTGAATTCTATGTTGCTACTCAATCTGAAAGTGCATTCGATGTTCTTCTACATGTGAGAGAACCTCATGATAAGGTATTTATTTTCTTATGCATTTATAATTTTCTTTTCATTTGAACTATGAGTAAGCCCAATAAAACTTTTTACATATGTTATGTAACCTGAAATATCTTAGTTATGATTATGAATTTGAAGACGATTATTTCTTGTAATGTGACATTTTATTGAATATATTAAATTTTTTGAGAGGCATTACTATAATTAAAGAATGAAATAACATGCAGTCAAGTAGGAAATTTAAGAATCATTTGTGAATTTTTAATTATGCAATTTATTCTTTATCTTGTAATTTTAAATTGAAGCAAACTGTATATGATATAGTATCTGTAGGTTAAAGTTAAAATAGTAGTTTCTTGTTGAAAGAATTTATGTATATATCTATACATACAGTAAAACCTCGATTAAGCGGCCATTCTTGGGACCGAAAAATTGTCCGTTTATGAGAGTTGTCCGTTTACGGGATGGGTACCCTAATGACGAAGTTTAACACCATAAATTGTTTTTTGAATATTTTCGAAGATGTAGAAATAATTGAATAATCTACAATAACTATTTGCAAGCATATTTATTTTAACTTTAAAAAAGAAATTCTATACGGAAAAAGCATATGAAAAACTTTGATAATGATACATAATTCTAGATGTAGCTACAGAAAAATGAATATAATTTTCCTATTAGCACAGATATTCAAGTTAGTCATATGATACCAAATAGGAGCTTTTAGTCCTGAGTTGGTTTCAATTATTAGGTTTACATCCCCTAACACCTACCCATCACTTTATAGGATATGTGATGAATACCTTCTTGAAAGTAAACCTCCCACGATGCTCAGAAAAGAAACAATGCATACATGTAAAGCATGAGGACCTATGGAGTTGATTATAGACAATTGATATCTATCAAGTGTCTGAATAAATGTTTCATTTATATAAACAACTCAAAGATTATATTTCTGTTCTCTCTTTTTACCACAGCTTTGTTAAATAGAGTCTTCAAATTGATAAGAAAATGACAGAAACTTTCAGTGCGGAAGAAGCATTTAAGACATCGTTTGAAATTGTGGGGTCTCATATCCTGCGTCGTCCTGATGCCGCTGCCCGAATTATTTCACAGGAACAGTATCATTTTCTCTCCTTTCTTAACAAAGATAGGGCAAGGTGACAGGAGAGAAATTAATTCTTTATTAATGAAATTTCTTAAAAATATTTTTAGTTATGGAGAAGGCAAAAAATTTACACCTTTTGAAAATGGTGAAAATTTTTATATTTTTTTCTTAAAATTTAAAGCAGAAATAGTTTTTTTTTTTTTTTTTAAATTTAGAAAAAGTGTCCGGTATGAAGAGATAAAAAAAAAATGTTTCAGGGCAAAAATTACTGTCCGGTTACGCCAGTGTCCACTTTGCGGAGAATATACATAATGGTTTATTTATAGAAAATTCACAGGAAATTAAAAATGTGTCCATATTGAGAGGCGTCCGTTTTGCAGGAGTGTCCATAACAGGAGGTTTCACTGTATATATAAATTTTTGGAAGAGTTATTGCTTTTCCTCAGGGTCAGGTATATATTTGGGTAAAAACTTTTCCTCCATGATTCTGGTATGTTTCTTGTGTATTATTTGTATTATCTACTTTTTCAAGTGAATTTCTGTTGCATTTTTTTTCTCTCCATTTATAGCACATCTTTGAAAAAATCAATGATATGATAAAGAATGAAGCCACAAGATATAGTGCTTTACAACTTCTTGGAAGGATTGTTTTCAAACAGCCTACTTGGTTACACAAAATCTCCAGTCAGCGTTTAATGCAGACCTTGTTGAACATGTTAAAAGTATAGATTTTATTTCTCACCTATTGTAATGTAGTACAAAATTTTTGAATGTAGTGTTTTTAATTTTTTGTTTAACTATTACTTTAATGGGTTAATTACTTATTGTTATGTATAATTATTTTTTAAATGTTTTTCTTAATTTTAATCTAGACTGACTCTAATTCTCCGAACTTGCTAAGTGGTCTTTTTATCGTCATTTGTATCCTACCGTTGATACCCCACCAATTTGGACCAATGCTACCCGATACTTTTGATGTATTTTCAAGACTAGCAGCATGGAATATTAAGAAACCAAGTAAGCCTATTCTTTATTTTTAGCATCATTCTCTTTCGAGTATCTACGTAGATAAGGAGGCGTGATTCAAATTGGAGACAGGAACTTTTCCAAGTTTCTGAAACTTGTGTTCAAAAAATAAAACAGTTAGTTTTTTAATTTTTTTAAAAAAGTTTTTGATTAAAAATATTTTGCTAAGATATTCAAGGGTTGCCCAAATGAAAAGTAGACTCTCAGAATAACGTTAAATACAGTGATAACATTATCACCATTTAGAGTTATGAAGGAAAGCCGTTAGATCAAGATACACATTGTATATCGCCCATTGTAAAGCAGAAGACGTAGTTATAAAATCAAATCTGTGTGAATTTGAATAAAATTTAATAACAGTATTAACTAAATCCATGTTTTCCTCTTTCACTATAATTGTTGATCAAATGAAAACAACATTACTGTTTAGTTTATACTGTACCATTTTTGAAATCTTATTTAGAGGAATTTCTTCTCTAATGCAGAGTTAATCAATGTTCATGATTATTAAATGTAGTTGTATAATAATGTTTTATAAGTTATTTAAAAATAAAATTTTTTGTGGCGATTAAATTTCTGCTTTTAAACATTGTGAAATAATGAAAATTAAACATACACTTTTTACTTTCTAAGTAGTACTTTTTATAAATTGGCTTGTTACATAAAACTTCATTGTTCTGTGCTTTAGGGATGGTTTTTATCTTAATTTATTGCTTCGTCTTAAAGTCTATAACATTTGTAATAAATTTTTCTAGGCACCTTATCAGAAATATTGAATATGCATCTTCAAACGGGGGTTTATTCTCTTTTTCATCGCTTATATGGAATGTACCCATGTAACTTCCTTGCTTATCTTCGCTCATTCTATGGAGGAAAAGACTGCACTAAGGATAATTTTGAAGTTTTTATCCAAGTTATTAAGGTAATTTATTTATTTTGAATTCTTTGTAATAGTTTTTGAATTATCTTGTTCCTTCTGTATAAGTCTTTTTTTTTTTTTAATACTAATTTAAATTGGTTGCTGTGATTAATAAGCAATCATTGTTGTTATAATTCTACAGATAATTTTCTAAATTGTTTTGGAATATCACCCTTGTATTTTAATTTGTTAAATCACTTATTCATTTTAACTAGTGTTTTTAGTAATATTTTGTCTATTAAAAGATTAGCATTAAAATATGTAAAAGGAAAATATTCTACATATTGATTCAGAGTATCACAACACAGAATTTAGGTATTTAAAATAAAACTCTTATTTTATTAATAAATCTCTACTCTTATTTTGATATAAAAGTGAGCCAAAAGACAAAAACTAATTTCGTTTTCACTTCAGGCAAATTTTGAATGTGAATTATGGGAGTTAGGGTACTTTGAAATTTATTTGATATTTCAACACATGACGCAAAGATGGCATGAATATACTACTATCATGCATTTACCTCAAAATTTGAGCTTGGTTGGCTTTTATTTTGAGTGCCTCGATTTTTTAGGAATCTAAAGTGAACAAGAAATTTCAGAACAAAAACTCAAACTTACAGAAAAATGTTCATCAAAATTTCACATAGACAAAGTAGCATAAAAAAGATTCAATAAGTAACTAATAGTATAGTAATTAAAACTCTTTTTTTTTGTAGCATTTTGTACATACAGAATTTTGTTTTAAAGCCAGGCCTCTGGTAAACCTCATATTGGATGATCAGGCATTTATTTTATATAATAGTTACATTCTATATAAGAATCCTGTCACCTTTTTTCAATTTTCTGCGAAATTTACTACATTTCTCTAATTTTAGTTCGCCGTAAGCTTCCTAATTTAGTTCAGATCCAATTCTGACTGAATATATATTTTCAATGAATATAATAAGTACAACTGTTAACTTCTTTTACTAAGCACTTATTCTGTACTGGTATGGATTGTATTAATTTATTTATTTTTTTTTTTTTGAAAGCTGGAATAATATTTTATTATGTTTAAAAAGCAAATTTTATAACTTTTTCTTTAGTGTAAGTTCAAATCTGTTTGAAACTAAAGTGAATACGCCTTTTTAACAGATTTGTTAATGATTTTCTGATTGATTACCTGTTATATATTTTTTAATTTTTAGGATATTTCATGAATTATTTGTTTTATTTTTCTATAGCCTATGCTTGAACGAGTAAGACTGCATCCTTTGCTTGTAACTGCATCAAAAGAAACTGAACTTAGTGTTAGCAGGTGAATAATTCTACTAATATATTGAAATATATAATTTTAAAAATATACCTTTTAGGCTTTCTTCTTGTCAATTCATTTCATATTTTTTAATTAAGTGGAAAGATATTCACCCACTGATTTATTTTCATGACAATATGTGTTTACTTATAATAGATTGTTATTTCCAATGTTTATATGGTTCTCATATTTGACTTAAAAGAAGCCACATTTATATCTCGACCAATATAAGTAAGATTATCTAAAATATATTAATATCTTTGCTCAATAGAATACCTTTGTTCAATAAGATACATTTGTTCAATCAGATAAGATATCTTTGTTCAATAAGATAAGATACCTTTGTTCAATGAAAAACCTTTGTTCCATAAAATATGAAATAAAAAAATTTTTATGAGATAAATTTTAAATTACCTTTTAATAGTTGCAACGCAACTAACAGTAAATAGCATGTACAGAANGTCGTTTACAAACTTAACATGCTGGTCTGTCATATCATGATGAACAAGATTTACATAGGAACTTGTGTCCGAAAATTAAAACTGAGACCGCTAGAGGGCGATAAGGGCAGGTTTGGATGAGGAGAAAAAAAATGATATCGATAGCGGTGTTAATATGATTTTTATTATAAAACATCATGACATCACAGCAAATGCTTAAAGTTCCTTCCATTCGCCACAATGCACGTTTCACAGCGTCGGCGCATGGATTCACGAACCCGTTCAAATTGGCCAGGGGTGTCACGGACACGTGCTGCCGCTTCCGCGATCCTGGCGATAAGATCCATGTCCGATGTTACAGGTGTCTTGTACACTATGGACTTCATGTGTATTCACAGGTAGAAATCCAAGGGAGTCAGGTCGGGGGATAGCGGCGGCCATGGGACTGGTCCGCCTCTACCGATCCAGCGATTAAGATAAATCCTATCGAGGTATTCTCGAACAGTGTAGCTAAAGTGGGCAGGCGCTCCACAATGCTGAAAACAGATGTTTCGGCGTGTAGCGACTGGAACGTCACCCATCAGATCCGGCAAAACTCTTTCTAAAAAAATGCGATAGGTATTTCCGTCGAGGCGTTCAGGTAGAAGGTAAGGACTAATCAACATGTCACCGATAATACCAGCCCAAACGTTTACGCTGAAACGTTGTTGATGTGCATGGGCACGTGTATATCTTGGGTTTTCATGCGCCTATACGTGCATGTTGTGCAGGTTCACGACACCATCCCCTGTAAGGCAGGATTCATCAGAAAACAAAATCCATGATGGAAAATCTGGCTGTGCGACCATCTGTAGCAAATTCCAGCATGAGAACACAATGCCTGTACTTTTTGGAAGTGGTAAGGGTGTTGCATGTCATCGTGCAGTAGGCGCATTATGGTGGAACGAGCTACACCCAAGACACGTTCGCCTTCTTGGAGACTTCTTTACGGGTTGATGGCATACTCCTGTAGCACGGTTTCCTCCACGACAGATGTGCGTGTAGCACGTTCTCGACCGATGTGGCTACGTGCTACGAAAGCACCTGATTCACATAATCTGCGGTGCAATCGTCCAAACAAAACATGACTTGGCTGACGTCTGTTTGGGAAGCGCTCAAGGTACGTCCGTGCCGCGGCTCGTAAATTTCCATCAGCGGCGCCGTATACGTAATTCATGTCGGCCATTTCTGCGTTACTAAACTCATTCATCCTTCTCCTTCAACGCCCACGCCTGAAATGATTGTTTTTCCCACTCTCCCGTTTGCGTGCAATTATCGCCCTCTAGCGGTCGCAGTTTTAATTTTCGGACACAAGTTCCTATGTAAATCTTGTTCANAATGTTAATCATTAATTAAAATGTGTTTAGATGGAAAAGAATGGCATACCATGACATTGTAGTTGAATGTGCTTCTATTTCTCTGGATTCAATTGAAGGATGCTATGAAAATTTCAGAAATGCTTCTTTGTCTGTTTCATCCCAAACTGAAAACCTCTCAACCAATGGTTTGTTGATATATTTTACTTAAATATATTTGTTTAAATTTTGTTATTTATGTAAATTGTCAAAAACATCTTTATAAGTTCATGAAAATATTTAACGTGCCACTATCTATTTATTACTTTTTATGTCGTTGAATTGTACTTATATAGTATATGATACCATTTTATAGGGCATTTGCATTATCATTTGAAGCTAACTTATTAGTTTAAATTTAACAACTTTCATAGGAAAGTTAATATTTAAACATTTATAATATTGCTATAATACTTTCTGGTCTTACAAAATTAATTATAGAAATCTGCATGCTTTCCCACTAAATTATTATGTATGAATATGGAATTTAAACAAAGTATCTATGCATGTTTAGAAACCAATTATGAATTTTTTATGTAGATTTTTTGTTTTCAGCTTCTTGTTTAATTGCTATATTAACCTTCATAGTTGGTTTAGAAATTTAAAGTCAATTTTTTAAACATTAAATTTTTTTTCATTCTGTTATCTATTGTAAAAATTATATATTATTGAGAAACAAGAGCAGTATGTCATGGTCAGAATACCTTGTAGAATGTGAGTAGTTCTAGCATTAATTTAAATCAGAGGTTTAAAGATTTTGGTGTAAATCTATAGTTTATAGCATTCTTGTTGAATGGGCAATATTCATTGGATTTTTAATATCTGATTTGTATTTTTTTTTTCAAATTTCTAAAATACTGAGTGAATTAATCTTCACTTACACCAAACATCAAAAGGTTGTTTGATTTTATATGAAATTTATATTAAAGAAAAGAAGAATTACATTATGTTGAGCAAATAAAACTACTTTTAACAATATTTACATGATTCTAATTAGAATTCGTCCTACACAAAGTCACCCCAGATGAAAATTTCTTTAATTCCCATAATTAATTTAATCACTATTAAATTGCATATTTATTTTTAATAAATAATTTGACAACACTGTCCTTCATCTTGAACTTCTTTTTATCTTCCGGTTGTTTTATCTTTTCCACACACTGAGCATAACTATAGTAGAGCATATTTTTGATAACTAAGGTTTTTCAAAATGCCAACTAATTTAAATGTAGCTGTAGTTGAAAGTTTTATCAATATAAAGAGTGGATAAAAGAAATTTTAATTACTGAAAAATTATTCTCTTTCTCCCCCTCCTAATATATATTATTAGTGATAATTTATATTATTTTTTTAGATGGTTTTAGTAGTATAAACTATTCTTCCTTGAGCAATTCTTCTGTGATTGTTGAAGCCACTCCTGCTTTAAATGAAAATATCCAACCAGATCAAGAGCAGATTTGGTCACCATCTCAAATATGTGAAGAATCTTCATTTTCTTATTCCTCTAGCAACTTGTCACTTCCTCCTGTTGCCAAAGGTAAAATTAGTTCTATATGGTTATTTACTTTTTTTAATATACATATAGCTGTTAGAAAAATTTATTTTTCTCATTAGTTTAGTATATTGTTGAAAACTGTATACAGTTCTGTTTTTCAAATGTTTAAAAGTTTGTATCTGCAGTGTTTTCTAATTTGCAGCTCTATTAAATTAAAAAATAAGTTTTTTCCATGTTCTTTATTATTAAAGCTTCTTATATTGATTATGAAAATTATCATTATGTTATTCATTATATATGTTTTATTCATATACACTCATGAACAAAAATATTAGCGCACCAAGAAGGAGTCGTCAAAACGAAACGAAATTTTTCATACGTAATGACTACTTTGATCTAAGTAAGTGATTAGAAAATCAAAGAAAAAGGATAATTTATTTTAGAGAAAAAGGCGAAAGAACGGAGGAGTTAATACCCCGTTGAACCCCCTCTAGCGCAAATGCACGATGCGATACGATCGGGTACTGAGGCATACAAGTTCTGTATGATGTCTTGAGGCATTTTGTTCCGTATTTGCTGTAACCTTGCCTCTAGTTCGTTCAAACTCGTGGGATGCCCAACTTGCCGTCCCAAATGATACCAGATATGCTCGATTGGAGACAAATCTGGGGATCGGGCAGGCCAAGGAAGGGTAGTAACTGTANCGAAACGAAATTTTTCATACGTAATGACTACTTTGATCTAAGTAAGTGATTAGAAAATCAAAGAAAAAGGATAATTTATTTTAGAGAAAAAGGCGAAAGAACGGAGGAGTTAATACCCCGTTGAACCCCCTCTAGCGCAAATGCACGATGCAATACGATCAGGTACTGAGGCATGCAAGTTCTGTATGATGTCTTGAGACATTTTGTTCCGTATTTGCTGTAACCTTGCCTATAGTTCGTTCAAACTCGTGGGATGCCCAACTCGCCGTCCCAAATGATCCCAGATATGCTCGATTGGCGACAAATCTGGGGATCGAGCAAGCCAAGGAAGGGTAGTAACTGTACAGAGACAGTCTTGTGACACCCTTGCCATATGAGGCCGAGCATTGTCTTGTTGAAAAATTGCTCCTGGGAGCCGTTACATGAATGGCAACACATATGGTTGCTGGATTTCATGGACATACCGCTGGGCTGTCATGGTGCCACGGAACAATACTAGGGGTGACCGTGTATTGTAGGCAATGGCACCCCATGCAATCACACCAGCTGTGGGAGCGGTGTGTCGCTGTACAGCAAAGGCAGGATTGAGGTGTTCACCACGGGGTCTCCACACATGAACACGATTGTCATCACTGCTGAGATTGAATTTGGATACGTCGCTAAAGACGACCTGGTTCTATTCTGCATCAGTCCAGTGTCCTCGTGCATGGCAAAACTCCAAACGGAGGCGTCGATGGGTGGGCGCAATTATTTCTGGGTGTGCTAATTTTTTTTTCCATGAGTGTATAAACTCAATGATTAAAATTGATAGCATGGGAGAGCCCTGTCACTAAATTAGTACTCCTTAAGTTATCTTGAACCACATGTTATTTTGTACATAGTTACTCTTTTAAAACCTGTTTTTGTAAAACTAAATAATTTAAAACATATGTTGATTGAAATAAAAAGTGTGTTTTGTTATCAAAATTAATGGAGAGAATGTGCAATGATGCCAATGGTGCTTTATTTTGATAATGTTTTAATGGATATCAAATTTAGTAATATAGGTAAAAAGGTGCCTACTTTAGATACTGTGGTAATATGTCTGTTACGGCTTCTGAAAAGGAATAAGTACAGGAAAATTGAGTGATTGTGGTAATTGACTATCATAAGTTGACCTGTAGCAACAGCACCATGCCAAATAATGCTGAATACAATTGATGGGATGAACATCTAAAAGCAGTTTTTGGTTAATTTAATATCATTAAGCTCCTGGGGTAAGGGCAACAATAATAATAAATAAATAAATAAAAATTGGAATTATTTTAACTATTAATTTTTCAGTTCATGTCTTTCAGTTTTATGCATGATTTTATAGCACTGATTAATAATCACTGATAATGATTAAGCACTTATTTAACAATCATTTACATTTTGTCACTCCATATAAAGAATGGGTATTCAGTCTGTTAAATGAAACACATTTGCAATGCTTTGTCAAAGTCATGTTATATTTTTGCCTCTAATTTTCATTTTTTATTTTGACAGAGATAACTTGCAGTAAACAAAACAAATTTCAGTATTTTTTTCATAATCAAATTAATCATCACAATTTAAAAATTAAAGATATGAAATAGTCAAACAGATAAAATGTTGCAAATAGAGAATAATTTTTGCTTGCTTGATACACTTTACTGTATAAAGCTATTATTAATCTGATAAGCTTTATTTGTTATGTGTTGATTTAAAATCTGATATCTGAGTTGGAATTACTTGGGAGAAAAAAAGTTTCAAACATATATTTTTACAATGCAGGCGAGTGGGCTTTTAAAAATGTTATGCAGTCTTCTACAGAAGAAAGTATTCCTTTAGACTTTGCTGTTGAGGCAAAACCTGAGGTAAGAAGGATAACTTATTTGTTTCTTATATTTTTTAAGTTCCTTGCCTTTTGTGTTTATTTGTGAATAAATAAATATAAATTCAGCAATTTGACACTGATACTGACACATTTTCTTTTTCTATAGATCCTACATTTAGTTTTCAGTAAATTTCACATTTCAAATCGGCTTAAGGCAATAATTTTTATTTATAAATAAATATAAATTCAACAATTCGACACTTATGCTGACACATTTTCCTTTTCCGTAAATCCTACATTTATTAGTTTTCATCAAATTTCAAATCGGTTTAAGGCAATAAATTTTATTTATTTAGTTGGTTTTTTTTTTTAAATTCTAACATTATGTATTCATATAAATTTTAAAATGAATATTGCAAGTGATTAGTGTTTATTATTATCAGTAGTATTTTGATTACTTGGTTGCTGGAATGAAAAAAAAATAATTAGAACTTTTAACACATCTTAAGTTGGAAACATTTATCTAAATATTTTGTCACTTATTGGCATTGCCATTCGGAAAAAAAAGTAACTAAAGCTGCATTATACAGTTACTACATTGCCTGATTTTTCACTTCATTCATGGAGCCATTGCGGTATTATAAATACTTTTAAATAATTTAAATATTAATTTTTTTAAAATAATTTTATTATTATTGCTACTAAAGAGAAACAAATTCAGTTCTTTTTCTGGGCAAATATTATTCTTTTATGTATATATATAGATAGTACTATAACTATATATATGTGTGTGTAATTCAGACTATTTCTGAATTTGAATAAAGGTTTTGCTCTATTTTTCAGCTTCTGAGGAGTGATATTGATATACCTGAAAAATCAGATTTACATGGTAATTATAATTGATCTAAACTATATAATTCACTATTGTGGGCACCAAACTATTACAGTACAGGACCCGTTATCCGGAAATCAGAAAAACGGAAAACCAAAAAACCGAAATGAAATTCAATAAATTTTCCTGCAATTTAAAAAAAAAAATTTTTCCTCATAAGATTTTAGGATTTTTCTTTCTTTTTTGAAAGATGTTTCCCTTACCATCATTTTGGAAATAATCATTAGTGTATTACTTCATCGTTTTTTCTTCTTTTTAAGACTATTTCCAAATATATATATTTGTTTAGTTGGGTTTAACAATAAAGAAAATGGCTTTTTGTAGCGATTCAGAAAACCGGAAAAATCAGTTATCCGAAATAGCTATGGTCCCGATCGTTCCGGATAATCGGTTCTTTACTGTACTGTTGCAGCTTAAAAAAATCTTAAGATGTGTTGAATTATCAATAACGTATTTAATAAAACAAAATTTAAGTATTTTAATGAGTGTTTATCATAGCTTTAACATTTGATCCTTAATTAGAATGCTCATTGTTTAAAAAAAATTTTTTTTTGTTTTGTGCATTAATAGTCTATCAGTTTCTTTTTTGATAATTAATTTTTTTAAATTTATTTTACGAATTTTGAATATTTTTACCTAAATACTTAAATGTTACGTAAAGGAAATCAATATTTTTGTAAGTGTATTGACAATGTATGTTATGATTTTTTAAGTAATATAGGGCCTAATGTCTANTTTTTTGATAATTAATTTTTTAAAATTTATTTTACGAATTTTGAATATTCTTACCTAAATACTTAAATGTTACGTAAAGGAAATCAATATTTTTGTAAGTGTATTGACAATGTATGTTATGATTTTTTAAGTAATATAGGGCCTAATGTCTATTAAAATAAGTTTCTATCTAGGAATTTTAAAATTTCCAAAACTAACTCATTTTATGAATGGGTAATTTAATTTGTCTATTCATAAAATCAGCTGATAAAAAATATTTGAAATCTTAAGTTTAAACTTACAAATAGGGAGGAAGTAGAATGAATATATCATATTTTTTTTTTTCTTTCTGTTTTAACTTCAATTTTTTAATATCCCTTGTACAACACCCATTTTTATTTGAATGTGCTACAGTTAGTTTTCTTATATATCTCAATTTGTTACTAAATATATTTTTCAATCATTTATTATTAAAAGGTCTGTGTGAAAAAAGATATCAATTATCTGAGCCTTTTTGAAAAACTCCCTAATGCTTGAATTCATTATTTTTATATGATAATCTGGCTTTCTACGACAATAATAAAGGTTCTACATGTCACTGTTATTGTAAAAATTATATAAACAATATAGAAATAGCAATTTTCTATCACTTTTGACTAATACTTGAATCATTTTTAGATTTTAATAATGTGCACAAAGATAATAATTTGAATACTGTGAAAATGCAGAAGTCAGAAATATTTTGTCAAAACAGTACAGATTCAGATATAATGGTTATAATTCCAGAAAAATGCTCAATATCTGCTGAAGCTAAAGAAGATGGTAAGTCAAACAATAATATTATGATCTATTTATCAATTTATTTTATGGAATTATATTATTCCATGTATAATTGTTTTTAAATTTTGTAAAACAAATAGGTTTTTAAAACTTAAATATCTATTATGTAAGCCAATCTATTCTGCAATGTTTACCGTGGTAGAATGAGTAGCAAAGTAGTTTTAATTTATATGGAACCTATTGTGATGAAAGGAAATACTCCTTAACCAAAATATGTGGAAAACAAACTTTCCTTAAAAAAACATGTAAATATTGAAAAAACATGTAAATATTGAAAAAATTCTGATACAGTACAGAACCCGTTATCCGGAAATCAGAAAACTGGAAAACCAAAAAACCGGAACGAAATTCGATGAATTTTCCAGCCATTTTAAAAAAAAAAATTTTTTTTTCCTCGTAAGATTTTAGGATTTTTCTTTCTTTTTTGAAAGATGTTTACCTTACCATCATTTTGGAAATAATCATTAGTGTATTACTTCATCGTTTTTTCTTCTTTTTAAGATTTTTTCCAAAATGTTTTTTTTTTTTGTTGGGTTTAACAATAAAAAAAACGGCTTTTTGTAGCGATTCAGAAAACCGGAAAAATCAGTTATCCGGAATAGCGATGGTCCCGATCGTTCAGAATAATCGTTTCCCTACTGTACCTTTATTTTTAAACATTTTGGAATTATAATGTTAAAATTCAGATACTTTTTTATCAAAGTTTATTGAAATTCGTTTAAAAACAGTTACAAAACTTTTTATGCTAAGTAGTTTTTTTTTTTTAAAATTGGCTAAAAAGCAGGAGTTTTACAATTTCCTATGGAGGACCGATTGTACCTGACCTCTGGCTTTCAAATGTGAACCCTTAATTGAACTTAAAGCTGTTAATAATTTTAGTTTTGAAATTTTATTTACATATTTATGCTCTTTGTGTTAATTTCTTCAAAGTATAAAAATGCAATTTTTTCCTTACAGATGTTGATAGAGAGGTTTCAGAAATAACCACTCAAGCTTTAGAACATAGCTTGAATTCAGAAGAATTGAGGGAAGATACTCCCTTTTGCTCCACTACTCAAAACTTAACTGATGAGCCAGCCAATTTAACTAATACTGTCATGTCACTTTCCGGAAGATCTGATAGCCTCACCAAAAGCACAGAAGATGATACAGATGAGATGTACAACAGCATGCAAGAGAGTGATTTACCCTCGTGTATTCCGTCTTTTGCTCGCTATCGATTCTTTAGTCATTGCGGTCCAGCTCCTGACATTGCTCCAGTTGTTAAAAAACCTAAAGTCTTTAGATCTATATCTTGCCCTGCTGATTTTAAGCCTGAAAGCAGCTCAGCTGAACTAAGTATTTGCAATGGGGAGAAATCTGAAAAGACAGACATTACCATTGTGACATGTTGCAGTGATATAACTACTACCACAACGAGTGCCTTTGTATCTTTGCCTAGTGAGACTTCCTTATCCAATAATAAGATACTTCCAGCATATCAACAGCTTTTGCCAGCTGTTGTAAATCCTTCGCTGTTTTTGGAACAGCCGGTTTCCATTGGACAGCAAAATATATCTCAAAGTAAAATGCCAAAATATTTTTCGCCACCAGAACTTCTGGACATTTACATTCAACAAGGCAATGCAACATACTTGAATTATTTGCCCTTGACTTCTAGGAAAGACACAGATTGGACACATTTTGGTGGTAATTATCAAAACTTATTTTCTATGAATGACTATTTTTTTTCTCTTCATTTAATTTTTTGTGTTGTTTCCTATCCTGTGTATATTATACAAGCACTCAGGTAGCACGTTTGGAAATGGCATTGCTCATTCAGCTGGTGGAGAGCTCAGTATTGTGAATTCCTTCCTACCAGCTCCTATTAGTATGTATGAGCAGCGCAATGCCATGCAATGAGTCATAGCTTAAAGTTTTCCTGTTAGTTTTGAGAGAGGGATACCAATTCAGGTACTGTCCTTATCACTTGACCAAAATCATAGAGCAATCCTACCCCTACCATGGCTTTGGAAAATATGGCTTAGGTGCATAGGCATGGACATGTGCGCATTAAACAAAAAGATTAAAATAGAAGTCAAGATTCAGAAATACATATTATATTATATTATATTATATTAACTACTTTTTAATATTATATGCATATTAGTAGATGATCTAGAGTATGATTTTATTGTATTCTCATTTTCTGTTGTTATATACCGCTCAATAATGGAACTTGAAAAAAAATGAAGCTATTTGAAGTGTTCTAAAATCTGGAAAGATTAGACAAAAAATTTTGAAAAAAGTGTTGCGTCTTTCGATTTTATAATACTGTTCCACTGTAAGTTTATAATCATAATAGAAAACGACTCAAAACCTGTTTCGCAAGAAAACACAAACTTTAAGATAAAATCTGTCCTGAGAATTTACTTATTAGTAAAAATTTTTGATTATGAAAATTTACACATTGTTGGGAACTGCAAATTAAGTCTTTTTCTTGTTCCAAAACTAGTCTTAAAATTGTTTTCGTTCTGTACTAAAATCATTTGTTTAGTAGTTCCTTAACCATAATTATTTATTTAGTCAGCAAATCATTTTAAGGCTGTTTAATTAATATTTTATCATTTGAAAACTTATATGTATATATATATATTTATGTATACATGTATGTATGTATTTGTAGTGATATATGTAGTGATTTGTGGAGCAAGGGAGGAAAAAAAAACAATAATTTAAAAATTAAACTTAACAAATATGATAAAGAAGGAAAATAAGTATAACAGCAACATCAATAGCAGAGAGCTGCCTACACGCAGCGTTGCAGGACAAAGACTGACTACTACAGTTAGATTTCTAAGGAAAAGAATAAATCTATTAAGTATTCGGGACTTTTCTTATCATGGCAGACTGGTACCTTTCAACACGGAAGTAGGTGGTTTCGAGGATGATAGATGATGATGAATTAAAACTACTATATATATAAATATATATATATAACATAAAAAGCTGAAACTAATCTTTTTATGTTTTTTCTTTGTTTAACTCTATTTCCTTATTTAATATTCAAAGCTAAACTCTCTTTCTCACACTTTAATATTCGCATCCTATCTTTTACTCTATTTTTGGCTTCAAGTTTTGCATTGCGTAACATTTTTGATTTTTCCCTTTAATTGAACTGTGAGAACGACTTTTTCCCTTGACCTATCTAATAGACCTATTGTTATTACTCAAATTTCCCGAAAACGAAAAACTTTACAAATTTATTTTGTAAGATTTTCCCTAATTTTTATATTGGCACACTTCGATTTGTGTCACATGGATAATTGTTCTCTCTCTAATAATAATTAAATATTTTGTCTTTTTCCTCTGCCTAAGACCTATATTTATCCTTCTTCTCTATATGTATATATGTATTTGTATGTATGCGTACATGCAATATATATAGAGATGCATTATAAAGAGTAATTTTTATCTTAGGATATTTATTCTTTATTTTGAAATATTGCATTTACCATTATAAAGGAATGCGTCCCGAAGTAAACCTTTGCGTTTTCCCATTAAAAAAATTTATATTTTATATTATTTTATAATTTGTGTTTATATAATATATATGCATATAGCATATATAATATATATGCATAGTTATATGCATATAGCTATTACCATGAAATTTTTTTTTGGACATAAAACTGCGTTTTGCCATGCACACCAGTGTTTAATGTGCAAAAATTTATTCTATTTCATTAAGGGCAAAGATATATAAAATATAGCTCTGGTAAAGTAACTAATAATTCAATTGTTTGTGATTTTCAAAAGCTTCATTTCAAAAATTTTAAGGCTTTGTGCCACTAAACCCTACATTCAATTCAAAAAATTTAAATTTTTTTTACATAAATGGTTCCTTATTTCTATTTAAAAACTTAATTATTGCCAATCTATTATTACCAACTTTATTTAAAATTTCATAAATCACAAGTATGTTTGAAAATTACTCTTTCGTCAGGAAAACCACCTCCAGAAGAAATAGAGGTATTGAAAAGCCAAATTTTACTGTTGCACAATATGTTATTATTTGAAAGACATCGAAAAGATATTCACAGTGAGCGTAATAGACGAATTTGGGTAAGAATAAAGCGTGTGCGAATGCATGAAGAGTTCATTGAAGCTTTGGTGAGTTGCTATAATCTTATTAACCATACTTTTGAGAGTTAAACTGTATTTTAATATATTTCTTCTGATAGATGAAATTGATATTTTTATATTAAAACTTAAAAAATATATTGTGCTTAAATTTCATCAATAGAATTATTTATAAATTGGTATTTGAATTGGAACTAATTGTAAAATTAATTTATTTTGATGGTTTTTATTTTATAGGGAAATGCTGTATTCATCTTTTTATCAACTATTACTGTTGCGAATTTTCTCAATGTTTATTTTTTTTTAAATCCCTATATTTTTTTATACATTACAACTATATTTTTAATAAATACAACTGATTATCGCTACGGATTTTTGCATATTATTTAAAATCTCAAGTATACAGTTTATTGACCCTTTTTTTGGTGGTTGTACCCATACTGGTTAGGATGATGATATTGCAACTAAGTGCTCTAGAGCATAGCAAATGGGGGAGGGGGCAAGAGGAGACATCTACAGCCTTAGAGGGGTGCTAAATTCATGAAAAATAATGAAAATGAAAAGTAAATTCCAGAACAAAATTTTTGTCTCTTAAGTAACCCCAGTTTCATTTACTAGCTACAAGTTCAAAATTTCTCCCAATTTAATATATTTAACCCAAAATTAGATAGGACGCCTATTTTGTAGCTATTTTTAAATTAATTTTAACAAGTTTGCAACACATTCAATGAAAAATGCCTTTGGAGTAAACGCTTATCATTTAATATATCAAAAACAATAAATGTGATCAGAAACATTTGAGTGTAACAGACTTAAATTTTAAACCAAATCTAAGGAGAACTTAACTGAATGTATAAACTGAATGTATTAAAAAAAAGCATTTTTGAAAAATATTGCATTGTATCCATTAAAGTTAGAAAATATTATTCAGTGAAAATTTTAACAATCTAATACCAAGTGTGATTGATTTAAATTTTATCTTAATATAAAGCTTAAATTGGCCCTGAAAAACTCACTGAATCTCAGATTATATTGTAAAGGAGTGCAAAAACAGTGTTTCCCCATAAGCTGTGAACCCTAGCTCTACCTTTGCTAGTCCAAAGCATCCAAACCATGACAGTTAAGCAGAAGTGTACACTACAATCAAACTCATAAGCATAATATTTTCAAATGTTCTGCAACAGGACTTATTAATTTATACAAATGTTCTGCAGGCATTTTACTGCGAAAAAAAGTCAACTTTACGTTAAAATACTATATTTTAATTTATTAAAATACAGGATCATACACAGATACACTACATTATTTTTTAAACCAAGGCAAATGCAAAATTTTGTTAATGACAATGATGAATTATGAACATTAGAAAGACTGAAACTTAGTATATGCCTATATTGCCCAAAGACAGTCAAAATGACTGCATTGTGAAAGAATAACTAATGTGTAAAGAATTTGTTTACTTAATTTTTAATATTTTTTATATTATTTACAGTTACATAACAAGTTATTAGTAAATATCAACAATGAAAAAATTTACTTCACTTGGAAAGAAAATATTAATTTATGCATTATTATTTGTACATTTTTTGCAAAGGCAATCTAGTATTGATGAATGAGTATTAGTACTCTTCCTTTAGGCAATCTAGTGTTAATGAAATGCCTATGATACGAAGGTCTGAACATTAAAATAAGGGCTGCCTTAAAAATCTTTCAAAGGGACAAGTGCTCAGATGATGCACCATTTGCAAACACAAACATTCGCTGGTCTGTTGTTTCAACAACTTCATCTCCATCAAAAGCATTTGGTCTTTTAGAAACAATTCTGCCAATCGTGGATTCCCACGATTCTCAAATTGCTTCTGAAATGGGTATAAGAAATATAAAAGTCATAAACTTTATGAAATTGGATATCTCTGAATTTAATTCTTTTCCAGCTTGCTTTAGAAGCTCTCTTGATAAAAATGGTGATAGATTTTTCCTGCTGTCTGCTAAAAACTGAGAAACCCATTTTGTAAAAATGTTATAGCCAAAAGCTAATTCATTTATTTCCTCCTCAGAATGGCAAAGATATAGGAGAGGGAGATTACTGATAAATGTGCTGAAATTTGTGTCACTTATTCAAGATACAAATTGTTCTGCAGGACTTCGTTTGTTCTGCGACATACATCACACTTTTAAGCACTTTCTGCTTCTGGGCAATCAAATATGGTCAATATGAGATGCCACTACAAACTGAAGCAATTTATGAACTTTAAGTTTTACTTCAAATTAGAGAAAACTGAGACGCATCAAATATTATTGAAAGTGTATGATGTGGAAGCGGTAAGTAAAAAGTGTGTTTTTGACTGATTTAAAGACTTCAGTGGTCGGTACGTAAGATGTCAAAATGACAGTGGTGCTTCAAAAGACAGTGAGACTGAAAAAGAAAAAAGACACTTTCAGCTTCTATAGAATAGATATAAAAAGTATATTGTAGCTAATAATAATAATTTTGAATTATCCAAAAGCGTATTTTATTTGTATCTCTTGTTCCCTTTATTTTAATAATCTATTCCTCTAACTTTTTGAACTCGCCTTGTAAAAAAAAATCACATCACATATCTTTATTGAAGCATTTTTTTTTACTGTTATGTATTTTACAGAAATCTGAAATTCTTATTTTGACAAATGAAAATGACAGTTTGAAAAGAGAACTTTTAAGTCAAAAGAAAATTTATATTCAACATATGAGTCAGAAGAAAAAGAACGAAAAAGATATGGATTCTAAAATTAAGTAAGTAGTTATATTTTACTTATTTTTTTTAAAAAAACCTGATAATGTATTGCTAAAACAAAGTATTTGTTGATATCTTTTATCGTTTAAGAAGTATCTTATTATAGTTAGAGTATCAGAGATAAATAACAGATTTTAATCTCGAAGCTTTTATGAAATTTAATGAAAATTTCACTAAGAAATTAGTATTTTCTCGGACAGGCTGTTTTTCAAAATTGTTCTCATTTACTTTCCACACCATTGCAACTATTGTAAACATCAAAATGTAATAGTTACTGTTTGACTTCTTGTAGAAATGATTGTGAATTATTAATTTGATACATTGCTTAATTTTACTACATTGTGTATTTCTAAAATTTATTAAAGTACTTTGAATAAATAATCAGATAAATTTAAAGATATTGTTAATTCTCTTTTTTATTTATTTTTTTTAAATAATAATTTTTCGTTTTTAAAATTGTGATGATTATATTGTTATCATATTATTTATAATTTCTGCTTAATATATTATGCATTTCCTCAGAAAATTAGGTCAAGAGAAAAACCAGTTGCAGTTTTCCAATAAACAACTGCAAACATTATTAGTGTCTCAAAAAGAAGAAAATGATGAAATCAGAGAAGTAAGCATTTTAATGTTTAATATTAGGGAAATTCAAAAATATAGAAGTTTAAAATTCAATTTTGCCAGTCTGAATTATAATATGTATCTTAAAAACAAATATTTTGTGCTACTGAAAAAGAAAATTGATTATATGTACTGGTAAAAATAATTTTTTCTCTCTTTGTGACGATAAAAAAATTTGTATTTGAAATTTATCTTGTACGAGAGTACGGCAAGTTTTAGAATTAGAATTTAATTTTGCATTGAATATAAAATGTCTTGCAAAATTAATTGCTAAATAAAAAATTTCTTGATGTTTTATTTATTAAAAGAAATTTCAATGAAAAAAATAAGAAAGTTTTAATTTAAACGTTACTGTACCTAACCCAATTCCAAATTTGTTTTCCAATTATTAGTTACTTTTCAATAAAATGTGATTTGCTATAACATTACATTATAACCTGTCATTTAATTTTTCTAGATTATAGTGAGAGAAAATAAAGTAATCTATGTATGTTGGTAAAGCAAAGTTCTAAGAACCCTAAAATTGTAGAGAAAAAAAAATTTTATTTAATTTTTATGAACAAAAAATTTATTAATTTTTTTTTAAAAAATAAGATTTTTATAGTATTAAAAAGCTGTTTAATTTTAATATCTATAGGACTTTTTTTAAAAAAGCTATTAAAATTTTACTAAAATGTGTCATTTTGCTACAGACACTTAAAAGGAGGCTATACTGTGAAAGAAACTTTTCATTCCAAATTCTGTTTCACCTCCATAACTATATAGAAAAAGTGAGTTCAGTCAAACCTAGGGAAAGTCTTGAAGTTTCAACTGCTGAAAGAAAAAGTATTAAAATATCAAAATGCAAACATATTAGTGGAAGAAAACTTCCCCATTGTGTATTCCTAAATTATCCTCTCATAACTTTTCATTTTAATATTTTGAAACTCACTTTTTCTATGCTTTAAATTTTTAATTACTCATGGAAGTGAAACAGAATTTTCTCTCATTGTACAACGTCGCCTTAAGGTATCTAAATTATTTTAAAATAGACAAATTTTAAAAACATATTAAAGCTTTAATACATTAATACTTATTTAAGATATTAAAAGTTATTTAATATATAAAAGGCTTTTAATTTCTTAATCAAATTTTATTTTATTCTTTGTGATTTAACTATTCTTTCTGTATTTAAATTTTAGTAATTATATACTTATATTCCACTTTTTAGTGTTATAAGAATGTCCAGTGTGAGGTGGCAAATATAAAATGTCAACTGAGATATGCTAGAAGAGAAGTTCTTCTTTCTCAAAAAGTAAAGAAGGAAGCAATATTTCTTACGAAACAACTTATTCTTCTTCAAGAATTAAATGCCCATTACAAAAGTAAACTAGATCAAGCTAAACAGCCTCAACAACCTGATATTACATCTGCACTTATGGACAACTCTATACGAGCTGAAATAGCAGGTATGTTATATGATGTTGAAGAATTAAATATTAAATCTATTCTATTAATGGAGCTTGCTCCAAGCTCGTACTCATTTCAAAAGCTTTCCTTTAGATAATTGAATAATATTAATTATCAGGTATGACTCCTCAAGCTACAATGCATGTTTTAGATAAATGAAAAATTTCTATGAACAAAAAATCTCAATTAAAAAAAACTTACTACAAGCAATTATAATTTACTCTTAAATATCACAATATTAACTATTGAAACTACTTTCAACCCTTTGTCACCTCCTATTTCAGCGGAAATTTTTTTTGAAAATCACAGATTTTTTTAGCACTGTCTTAATTTTAATAAAACAAACTCTTTATTGATTATTAAAATACCAGCCATCCTGAAAGTAATTTATGAAGTAATTTTGTTACGGGTAAAGTGCGGCGGAGTAATGCAGAGTAATAAATTTCATATTACTCTCTGCAAGATGAACTTTACAATAAAGATAGAATTTTTTTTTAATGAGTAATACTTAAAATTTTAAGCAGTATTAAAAACTGTGAAGTAACATAGGAAATTTTAATCCTTTTTGTTTTAATAAGTTACAAAAAAAAATGTTTTGCGATCGTACAAGTTTTCTGTCAATGGTGTTTGCACGTTCACGTATATTGTGCTGTGGAGAAAGTAACAGTTATAGACAATGTCCACCTTCATACATTAAAAGATACCCCAAAATTTATTTTAGTTAGCATGTCTTATATACTAGTGAGCTGATTGTTAATATTCGTAGTGGTAGTTACACCACAATGCATATCTAGCATTAATTATATATGTGGAAAATCTTTATAAATTTGTACTTCTTCATTCATATTTAAGCAATCATTATGTAAGAAAGCATTTAAAGAGTTATGGAACTCTTGAATGGCATGCCTTTGATAAAATTATATTTTAATTCCGACTTTCTTGTAAATTCCCCCAGCATAACTGCAATTTTACAATAATACTTTTAAAGTATTACTAGGTCAGCAGTTTAGAAATAATTAAATAGTTCAATCAATGTAAATTTTTTAGAATGCTAAAACTAATATACTATCTTTTACCTGAACGCTTAACTGCTTTTTACCCAACTCAAATATTATAGGAAGCTAATTATAGTTTAATATCTAATATCTCCTATCTATCTCTTAAGGGAATTTCATTTCTATTGAATCAATTAAAAGGTTTCAGGGAAACATAGATTTTTTTTCCAGATTTAAATTGCAACCTTTAGTATATTGTAAATTTTAATAATTCATTTTTAAAGAACTTAAAAGTTAATTTTAAGTTATTTTTCTAAGAAATTAAGCTTGACCATCTAATAAATCAAATTTCACTTGTTTTTTCTTCTTAAATTGACCAACATTATCCTGATTTACATCAAAATGGGTAGAAAAAAAATTTCTAACCTTGAACATAAGCATTGGTTTCTAAAAGCAGTTATCTAAATTTCGAAGATTGTGTAGGATATGTTTTTGTTTTTTCCTCCTTGAAAAGATTCACAAATGACAATTTACTCAAATTCTGCAAGCGTATTTTAAAATCATATTTTAAAGAGGATTTTTTATGATTCATGCAGAGTATATTTGATTAAGTTAATATTCTTTACTCCAATACAATTTATTTTGAATTATTATTTTTATGAAATCACTAAGCTGCTCATCATTTGACAATAATGTCATTTAAGTTAATGTGATGCTTATGTATGCTTCTGTTATTTTGAAAGACCATATATTGAAAGTTAGAACAAAAATCCCCAAGAACTTAAGATAACTATTAATTTCACAGTATAATCAATCAATATTGCTGAAATGCGTATTTTTGACTATTTTTCATTTTTTAGGTTTAAAACAGAAGCTTGACACTAAATCTGTTCTCTTGGATTCCTCCAAAGGAAAAATTACTGAGTTAGAAAATATATTATCTAATTTGGTAAAGTACTTTATTTATATTGTAAAGTGACAAATAAAATGTAGAGACTCTTTTGAGTTTATTTTGAAATTATAATTTTGAATAGAATTGGCTAAATTAGTAAGGAAATACAAAATATTTTAGTTTATTAAAATCTCTAAATGTTTTTAATTACCAGAACGTAACAGTAAACATTCAAAACTTTAGTTTTGTTCATTGAATCATGATAAAAATTTTTTTAGGATTTTTAATGATTTTTGCTTATTAAGGAAGGCTAAGTACTTTAGTTTTTGAATAGAAACATGTGAATGTTTTTGAAAAAATTGCAAAACTTACAATAAATCATAATCTTTTTTTCTTAGAAATTGAAGCAAAGAGAAAGGACTAGTTCATGTGAAGAAATGAAAAGTTTTCATCAAGCTGAAATAACAGTTAGTATTTTAATATTCAGTTTTGTATATTGGTTAGCTTAATGACAAAAAATGTTGGCTATTTATATAGTTGAAGATATAATCAAGGTTATCGTAAATTTAGTTTAAATGATTTAAAAATATTCCTTTTACCTAAGCAAGACTCAAAATTAATGATGGTCCAATGTCCAGCAATTGGCAACTGGTAATTAAACTTTTAAAAAATTGTATTCTATATTTGTTTTTCGTTCCTCAGTTTGTTCTTTTTATCTGTGTTTCTGCTACAAAATAAGTCTTTACTATAATTATGAGATTCACTGTAGATATGAGAACATTTTTTTTTAATTTTTTTTTTCTTATTTTGTTTTATAACTTTTTACTTTTAATACAGTAGGGAAGCGATTATCCGGATCGATCGGGACCATCGCTATTCCGGATAACTGATTTTTCCGGTTTTCTGAATCGCTACAAAAAGCCTTTTTTTTTTTATTGTTAAACCCAACTAAAAAATTTTTTTTGGAAATAATCTTGAAAAGAAGGAAAAACGATGAAGTAATACACTAATGATTATTTCCAAAATGATGGTAAGGTAAAAATCTTTCAAAAAAGAAAGAAAAATCCTAAAATCTTATGAGGAAAAAAAAATTTTTTTCTTTAAAAATGGCGGGAAAATTCATCGAATTTCGTTCCGGTTTTTTGGTTTTCTGATTTCTGGATAACGGGTTCTGTACTCTATTTATAATATTCTTCAGTGGATTGACAGCCCTGGGCAACTCCAAAAGTTTTCTGCAGGCATCTCTACATTTGGCAACCAACCCTAAAATTGTTTAGATCATTTTCAACACAGTCAATCCATCTTAGTTGGGGTCTACTCCGAAGTCTTTTTCTCAAGAGCTTTGCAAAAAATATTTTCTTACAGCATCGATTCTCTTATGAAATTTGAAACCTATTCTAAACACATGTTTTATAGGATTACAACTGAAAATTATTTTGCAATTTCTACTACTGTGTATTCATTTCCTAAATTTTCAGCTGCTCAAGTTTATAGTTATCCATAATTTCTATTAGAACAAGTAACTCTTAACCTCTATGAAGAAATCATAAAGTCCATGCTCCAAATCCTTACATTATACCCAGGTTGCCTTCATACTGACAGTCCAGTTGTTGTTGTCGTAGTATGCCATTAGGCAAAGGGAGTGCACTTTTTGTTTTCCAGTGGTGCCATCTATGGCCAAGAATTCGACTTCTGCCATACACATACGTAACAGACCATTTATACCTCAGTCCCTTTCATACATCCACAAATTGTAATTTTGACCTGAACCAGGGGTATGATTTGTTATAGAAACTTGGAGGACTCTGGGACTTGTGCACTAGTCACCATTTACTACATGGGGAGTCTTCAGCTGCCGATAATTGAACTCACGACCTCTTTGACATGGGTGCAGAGCCGTGCCAACCAGACTATCCCGACCAACAGTCCAGTAAATTTCTTTTTTGATTCCGTAACAGTTAGTTTTTATACACTAGAGTTGGTAAAACAAAGCCCAGCTCTCCAGGTTGGACTAAAGTATTACTTTTTGTTTGATGTCTCACCAATGATTTGTCCAGCTTGTTAAGTCCAACCACAGCCGAAAGCTTTTAACACCAGTGGGGGGAACTGAAATGTTTTGTTTATGGTAAGTATAATATGTTACATTTAATCGATTTCTTAAAAAAATGATAAAATTTTGATATATATAAAGGGTTAATTGTTATTTTTATTAGTTTACAAAAATTAAATATTGTGTTAGTTGACTATATTTATTTTAAATTTATTAGATACAAGTAAATGGGACTAGTGAAAATGTGTACAACATAATGAAACCTTTTAGTTGCTGATTCTTTAAACCAGTGATTTTATTTTCTTAATTTCTACTCTTGCCTAAATTTAGGTAAAAATGAATGCAATTTATTATTTTATTAAAAAAGAAAACATTGCAAAAATCTGTTATTACTCTTAATAAAAATGTATTTTATATATTTTGAATTTTGTAACAGTTTTATTTTTGAAATCATAATTAGTACAAGAGTTATTATTTAATTAATTATTAATGAAAGTGACTCGGAAATGTTTGGGGCTCAGAATGAATATACATTCAATTTGACTTAACTCTTACTTAAGTCTTGATGACTGATACTTGTAACTTTAATTTCTATAATTTATGTTTAAATTCAATGTCAATTGTTTTCAATGTTTAAATTCAATTTATGTCAATGTTTAAATTCAATGTCAATTGATTAATTGTTTTCTTAAATTTTATTTCAGGTTCGAGAAGAGAGATTATTGGACTTGCAAAAAATATCAGCAGAAAAAGATGCTCATATTTTAAAACTTTATGCTGATATGGACGAGTTGCAAGGAAAAATAGGTTTGAAAATTTTTGGTTAATATCATTGATTTTCTTTGGCAACCAGATTTATCTTTCAAATTTACTTAATGGTAAGCATTCAAATAATTTACCCTTCGCCTATTTCCCTTGTAAAATGTCTGCTCCATACATGCACCACATATGATGGGGTAGTTGTAGTGTAAAGAAAGAGCAGTATATTGGGAACTAGCAGTTTACAAACACAGAATGAAAGAGAGATACAGAGTGCTGAAAATAATAGTAAACAAATTATTAAAAAAAAGGACAAAGGTGGAAGAAACTTGAAAAAGGTGATTAAAAGTACTGAAGGTGATTTAAAAAATAAGTTAAACATTACAGTTTTTATCAAAAATGATTCAAGGACTGCTTGTTATTGTATTTTTAGATTTTTTCATTAACATTTTAATATACATATTTGTTAAGAAACCCATTTGCTTTCTTTAAAATAGCTAGCATTTTTTCAATTTGTAAAATTAACAAAATCACAAAGCAGTAAATCATATAATTTTGAATTATGCTGAAAAAGAACTATGTAAGTTGGTTAATATTTAAAGAAAAAAAATCAGCCCAGTAAAAGGTAAAGCAACTCATTATCTCATCTTATATCATTTTAGTGACTTTGAAAGGTTTTAAAACCAGTCAGTATTCTGGATACCTAAGAACTAGATTGTTTGTTGACTGTATGTAGATTTTTAGATACAATTTCAACAATGTCCCTCTCAGTGCTTGCTATTGATTGCTTTGCTATTTGGTTTACATTCGCAAACATTGTTTCAGAGTTTTTATGCTTTGAAACTTTCATGATTAGTTTTGGGTATATCTTTTGATATTTTTCATTCGTCTACCTTATCATTCATCATCTACCTTTCATCACTGTCCCTGTTCATGTTTCACCACTGAAAAATTTTTTCATTCATCTACCTTTCACCACTGTCATCGGGAGCAGGCATTAAAGTAATAGGATGTATGTTGCAGTCAATATACACATCATCGACTTCTTCAACCACTCAATTTAATTCCAAAAGACCAATGTTACCGTTAGATTACGAAACCTGCTTTATTAAACCCATTTGTAATTCATTTTAGACGTCATCAGGGCAGAAATCAAATTCAGAGCTTTTTTAAAAAAAATTTTGTTAAGAAGAAGTTTGCAGGTTACTGAAATCAAGAAAAAGAAATGATTACCCAAGTAGTTGTTTAGACATGGTGCGTAGCCAAATCTTTCAACAAAAAATAAGCACCTTTTAAGTACTTTTTAAGCACTCAAAAGATATTTTTAAGCACTATATACATTAACAAAATGCAAAATAATTTTGTTAGACTTTGCATGATCATGACAAAATAACTAGTTTCTGACAAAGAATTCTTTTCTTGATTATATTAGCCATTATAAAATGATCAAGAGATTTTTTGGTTCGACATTAGAGGGTGGAAAAGGAAGCCTACAATTGAGAATATCTTGCAAAATGCTGCTGAGTTGCATTTGATAGTGCAATAAGCTCACCGAACCCAGCTTAGTAGACGCTCATGCGAACTCGCAAGTATTTCCTCAAACATATAAAATGATTGGTGCTTTCATACTCTATGGAGCAACGGTAGGCCGAAATAGATTGCGGTTAAATGAACTGTAAAAACGTTGAATAGAACAATGTGAAAAGCAGGCTTTAGCATAAAACGTGGCGAAAATGGACAGGGTAAAGAAAAATCTCATTTTCGAAAAGGGAAAAATAAGCACTTTTTAAAAACACCTAATAAAAAAGCATCTTTAAGGGCTTTTGAAAATCGAAAATAAGCACCTTTAAAAAACGCTTCGCACCCTCTTAGAGTAATGTTTTTAAATGAAAACTTTTATTCCAAGATTCAAAATTTGAAGTTTGTTGGGAAAGATTACACTGGCAAATTTTACAAATTAAGCACCCTTTCTATGCCTGTCCCATTTCACAAAAATCCTGATTTTGACTCAAGGGGGAAATTCTCTTCCACTAAGAGAAAGACAAGAAGATAGAATCGAAAAATTTCAGAACAGATTCAAATCAGTTTCCCTCTTTTTTAAAAAATGAAAACAGAAAAAACAGCTTGGAAAAAGTTTGTGTTGTGTGGAGAAAAATGAGTTTGATCTCTAATGAAAAACATATAAAGTGGTATTTTCTTAAAAAGGGTAACATAAAATCTTTGAAAATTTAACGTTATCATTATAGGTAATTTTCACTGACCTGCAGAAAATGGTGACGTATTCCACTAAATCAACATTTTTATTTTCTCACTAAATGACGCCTATCTCAATAGTTGTTTTAATTACTTTGCATGAAAAATATATTTTGACATTTCTTTTGATTGTTATTTAAAGCGGTCATTAATCTTTTTTAATGTTTGCAGATTCTTTGGGAAGGAAACAAAATTCTTCAAGTAATAGTCATAAAAACTTGCCGGGTGGTCACAAACCCTTAAATCAAACTGCTGTTGATGGATGTTCTAACAGTCAAAGAACAGATGACGCTCTTTCATGAGAGAGAAAAAGATTTTTTTAGATCTGTTTTTATTGGTATTAATGTTCCTGTGATGCCATAATGTAAAATGAACTATTGTATATTCTTAAAGCATCAAGAAAAAGTACAACTTACTAAACTTTTGTACATAAAAATAATTATTTGAAATAAAGATTTTAAAATATTTTAAATTCATTTCAGTTATTAGGTCATTCATTCAGTCATTATTATTTAGCTACATGATTGTGTTTGAGAAACACAAATTATTATAGTGATATTAAAAATTTAAAATACAAAAGACTTGTTGAATTCTGTTGATTATAAAGTTGTGTTAATAGCTTTGGTAATTTTGCAGTTACGTATATCCTAGTTTTTAATGTTAATATTTCTTTACTAGTTCTTTGTTTTGTTTCTGTGTGGAGATCATTTTATGACATTTTCAGTTTTTGACATTTTTTTTTTCAAGAAATACTTAGAATTATTTTGTAACTTTAGAGGTGTTTAGGTCATGAGATTTTTAATTATTTGAGAGACTGGTAAAAAATTATGAGCGTAAATAAGTATTTTTGAACACCCAATGCCATAAAATATAGCAATATACTTGTATCAATTACTTAGGTTGTTATTTGCAATAATTGGCTAAAATTTCTTAAACCCAGTTTAAATATTTATGGAGATGTGGAAATTTTTATAACATCACTATTGACGTTTATAGGCTTGTTTTTTATAGTTCTAGTAATAATTTTTTATACAAATTTTACAATGCCATCGACAATGTTAACTTCAGAATATTTTTTTTTAAAACTGCCATTCAAAAAAAAACAATGTATTCTAATTATCCTACGCATTATGTTAAATTATCTCATTCTGTGGCATAGGTAATGTTGCTTGCCTCTATGATTTAGGTTCACAGGTGTCCACCGGATAATGTTAAACGAGTAACAATTCCAACGTCCTCCAAGGCAAAAAATAAGTTTAGTACCTGCTGTTAGAAGAAGAAAAAATATGGTTGTTCAATGTTCACTTATAAATTAACAATAAAATCAACCTTGAAATAAGTATCACACAAAGCAAGGGTTAAAACAATTTATTGATATTGTACTTGTATATATGTACAACAGGAAGCACAACCATGCTGACTTAAATTACTGGATTCTGCACAATGAGGACTCACTGAATAATTTTTACAAATAAAAAACTATAATTTCTACACATCACTAAAGCATTTCAAAACCACAGAAAAGAAAATACAGCATTAATATTTCATACTTTTTGCAGACCTATGACATTAACTTAACACGATTACAAACTAGTCATGAGTAAGCAAAAAAATGTGAAAGTGCATGTACCATAGTAAATTATAACAATACTCAATATAACTCCATTCATTGGACCCATATACCAGCTGACTCCTCTTGTGGGAATACAAGTACATAATGTGAATTATTCTATGTATCAGTTATCTCATCAACCATTCTCACACAGTGGTATCTCTTAATTAATAAACCATATAAAGGGAGAAAATAATTTCAAACAGGGGACAAAACACAAAATAAAAGTTACGCTTTGTAAAAAATTGAGTTTAATAACAGAAGACTTCTATGTAATTTTGTGGTGTTCTGGATTCAGATTCTACTTCCCCACCTCCCGTGTTAACCTATGGAAATACTAATTCCCTGTTTAGTAACTAATAAACATTTTGAAACACTTTTTGTTGCATTTGGTTTATAAAAATGCTTTATTTAGAACTTAGTTCCTAAATTTTAAGTTTTAAACGTATTTTAACCTTTGTAAAACTTTACCAAAGTAACTATAGTAGCTTTGAAAAAAAATATTAATGTCAAAAACCTTAAAAATAGGAATTTGGTAACTGAGTTGCATAAAATTAAATAAAGATTATTCAAAATATTTACTTGTTACTCTATAATTAAAGAATTATTAATCACAGGTTAGCACGAGAGGTATGAAAAGTAATATGGGTCTTAGGGGCACCTGTAAGTGATGATTAGGTGCAACGGCATTTACAGCATGTGCAATTTCTTCTCGAAAAAATTACTTATAATGAAATCATACAGGCTTGAAAAAGGGGAAGAAAGTGGCGCATCTTTTCTTTTGGGAACATACTGTTTTTAACTGCAAAACTGTGGCTGATTATTAAACAGTAAAACTAATAAAATAGATAATTAAATCATCAACCAGTTTCAAAACCCAACTTATGTTTGTTTTTGAAAACATATACGTTTGAATCTCTCTAAAAAATATTTTTATGTTTTTATTTCAAAAATAGCTTTGAAAATTATAAATTTTGCAACACATAACTGGAATGTTAATACTAGTATTAAGATTTATAAAAAAATTTCAGAAATATTGATAATAAAATATATGATCAGAAATATTGATAATAAAGTTAGCTGCAGGTTAGAACAATTTTGTATGAAACATTATTCAATTTTAATACTAATGAAATGCCTAACAAATATTTTCTCACAGTTTAATTATGGTAATGTGTGAAATTATTCTTGATATTTCAAATAGTTCTTTAAACAAAAGTTTTAAATACAAGTGCAACTGTTATTAAACACAATTTCTTTATCAGTATCATTAATAAATAAATGCAATTTCACATTTCAAGAGCTTATCATTCAATGAATTGGAGAAAAACGCACGGGACAAATTATTAAAAAATAAATGGAATGTTTTTATTAATCAGTTTCAATATTAAACAGAACATTGGAACACTCGAGGAATTAAGCTAACTATGTAAATGCATATCTATAAACAGCAAAAGTGCTCAAGTATGTTGTGCTTAGAATCGCTATTCCAAAACAGTTTTTCTCTCCCTTTTCTCATCTTACTCATAGCTAAAAAATTTAATCTGTAATTTTAATTTAAAAACAAGGAATTTTAACACCTAATACGCTAGACTTTAAAATAATAATGTTATACAGTGCACTCTCAACCAGAGTCATGTTTTGTGAATCTTAGATGGTCTTTCAATTGCAATTAATATAGTGAACACTCTAAATTTGTTCAAAATATTGATTGCAATTTTTTTAATAAGGCATTTTCCGCTACTTATTTGTCTTCAAAATGATTCTTTAATATTTTTAATTTCATTTAAAGATACGTTTAAACAGATACATTATTAGGTTTAAAACGATCTTAATATTGCCCCAATCTTATTTTCTCAAGATTTGATATTTTAAATTTCAGCAAAAAAAAATTTCAATATATTTTGGCTAATTCATTAAAGTTATCATTAGTAACTATTTTAATTATATAAGATAAAAACAATTTTAAATAGATAGAGGTTGAGCATGACTAGATAATACTTCTGTTTACGATATATGATAGGAAATGTTATAATTTTTTTCAATAACTTAAATTAAAGATGCTTTCTACTCTGATTTGTTTCGCACAAAAATATTACATTCCAAATACTGCTAAGAAAGTAATAAAAAAATTATGCATAGTTCTTAAAATTATTTAAACTGAACTTGCAATGCAAAAAGCCCAATCATATTCCTAAGTTAAGTGTTTTGATTTGATATGGATAGATATATATTTAAAAAACTCTTTACAGAATAACATTAACAATTTTCTTTTCCCACTTACACACAGTTAAATATACAATCTGTACAATCGGAAGTAATTTGGGTAAATCGACTTAATCATAACCTTGCTGCACTTTTAAAAAGTAAAAAATATACTTTAACAATTACCAACAATCTTAAATGGACGTACAATACTAAAGTTTATTTCAAACATAATTTTAAAAATAATATTAATTCAATTCAACAAAAATACAATTAGTTTGCTGCTTTCCATATCATACTTTGTGTTTATTTATTAGACATAGCTTTTAATACAGATCTACTGCTAATTTACAATATTCACTTATTTTAAAGATAAACCATATTTTGATTTTAATATAACTTTAATTTATCTAATAATAATAAAATATAGAATTTTAACTAAAAATTTTAAGTTTTAAAAAAAATAAAAACCCGACTGTGAAAACTTTCTAAAATCTTAACACTTTGTTGACCGACAATTTTACACAGAAACTATGTCATGTCACCAGCTATTAATTTGTAATTGAATATGAAAGTAAAATAAAATATTCTAAATGCACTCCAATAAATTTTATTTGAACTTGAATAAATTTCATTTGAACTTTAATAAATTTTATTTGAATTTTACTGAATGAAATAAAATTATCAATATTCTATAACGCCCTGGGTTTTGTGAATTAAAATAGATAATACAAGTGCAATGACGAGTTAACTCGTCACTGGTCAACAATGTGTTAACATAATTAGTACTTTATTTTTACAAAAATACTTGCAAAAAATATATATAAATTTTTAAATGCATACATTGAAAAATTAACCCTTCTATAATTGCAACACACAAATTTGGTTTTAAATCACCCTTAATAATATTCTTTAGTTTCAAATAATTATACTCTACAGTAGTCTCCCAAACATCTAGATATATTTCAGAGAAATAAAAAAAAAACTTTCAAGAAACAAAAGAATAAATATTTCTAAAATGCTGTTATCTTTTAAAACTAAACTAAATTTTCTAATTAATTAATCGAATGAAGAGTATATTTTTTAATTATATTATTTTTTTCATAAAATAGTTTTTGAATACTAAAAGAAAAGTTAGCTTAACAAGCAATGAAACATGAATGGAAGTCTACTGCATGGATTAATAATGATAAATGCTTGAAAATAATGTCTAAAAATATAGACATGTTGAATAAATAAATACAGTATTTCTGCAGAATTATGTCATCAAATTCTAACAATAAAAACCGAATTATCGAGAAAAAATTTTTTATAAATAAATATGTTATAACAATAAAATCTAGAAATAATTTTAGTTTGATTTTAAAAATTTCTACAATTTCTAGCTATAATTTGTTGTTTTTATTGTAATAATCATTTACACTGACTAGAAGATAAATATATGTATATATTTTTTAAACTGTACATTTTTAAAACATAAGAATCATAAATATTTTTAAATTACAAGAAATGTAACTTCTTTCCACGAATGTGCTCTTTCATTGACTAGCATTACAATGCACTTAATTGCATAGCTTTAAAATATTTAACTGTAACTGTAACAAACATATTTCATGGTGTGACTAGACATAAAAGATTTATAAAATCAGAAAGACTATATCTATTCAATAATATATATTCAAAACAAAAATAACTATTAACTCTTTTTCCTACTTTTAAGTTCATAAACTATTATTTTATAGAAGGATACAGAAAGAGGTTAGGGTTATCTTTAACAAGACTGAACCTACACATTATTATTTAATCAACAACATTTAAAAAAAAATTACTTTGAGTGAAGTTACATTAGAATGCTTACTTTAAAAGGGAAAAAAAAATTTCTAACAGCTTATAACACTTTAACTAATCAAAAATTTACATTTAGTAATTTTTATGACAATTTTTCTTACATATATAGAGAGAAATGAATTCAAGCAAATAAACAAATTTAATTGAAATAAAATCTACTTTAAAATTTTGTTGTACACAAAATAAAGTCAATAAGGAAGCTTCCATTAGACTCTCTAACATCTGTTACATTTTGAATTCTATATTTTATTTTGTAGTTGGAACAAAATTTTACGTAATAAAGTGAACTATTATTATTTGTTAACTATTTTTAAAAAATATTCTTCAACTTATGGTTAAAGGGAAAGCTTGAAAAAAATTATTGATAAGAAATAGTTCATTACAAACTTAAATTATGAGTATTAACATGAATAATCACCAAACAGAATCCATATTTAAAACTAATTAGTAAATAATAGTAACGGCTAAAATAATACATTTTTAAAATACTAACAAACTTTAAAATAACATAAAACAACATAGTAAAAAAAATGTAAACAAGTTGAAAACACTGAGATTTCAATTTTTTACTCAACAGGTTTAGGATAATTCAGGTCTAAGACGAAAGAATTTGTTACAAACAATTATCAACAAACTGTATTCAAATAAAAAAGTGATAATCCCTTTTTAGTTATGATTTGTATGCTTCAGTTATAATAATAAATCCAATTTTTGTTTTAAAGTCCGTGTATAGTTGAATCCCGTTAAAGAATGGATAAGGTATGGGGTTTAACTATAGAAAGCAAGAACAAAGGTTTTTATTACAGTAACAGGTGTAGCAGATGAGCAAGGACTTCACTGGCAAAACAGAGAATTCAGTTATGCTGGTGAGGGCCATCTGTTTTATCAGGGAGCATGGGAGGAGATACAGGGGTGGAATCATCATGAAACAAGGGATTTTTAACTTCCATTTCTCCAGTCTAAGAAGAAAAAATATTTATTTTATTACATTAAAATATTATAAAACGTTTGTAATATAGCCATGTTAACTAGACTTGAAAATAACCACTCACTACATGGCGAGTCATCAACAAAAAATTGGCGACTTAAATAAGCAGTCACTTTTTTCCATCGTTTTTTTGTTCTTTTTTTTAAAAAAAATAAAATTTAATAAAATAACTTTTAATAATAAAAGTACATCCATTCAGAAAGACTTTGGAAAACATAGTTTTCTTTAAAATATTCAATGTCTCCATTCAAAATTTTGATCTTTTAGAATCCATTAATTTCCGAAGAAAAAATTCAAGTAAAAGGAGAGTTCTTTAAAAATTCAGATATTTCAAAGTTCTTATGTATGCATTAAATTTATTTTGCCACCCCAAATATTTTAAATAAAGTTCTTTCAAGTCTGTAATGTTTAACTAAATATTGTCACATATTTATATTATTTTTACTACATTAATTTTTTATAGCTGTAATATAAATTTCTTGTAAAAAATTTAATTTAATCCAAGCAAAAAAAAAGTGGCACTTAAATAAAAAGGACCTATCGATATTGGTCACCGACTTACTGGGCTTGAGGAAAAAGTGGCTATTGAGTTATTAGAGTCTACCGCACACTGGCTACTAAATAAAAATTTAAATTTTCAGGTCTAATGTTTACCAATATCCTGGAAAAACTAGAAGTAAAATTTCTAAACAGATGTTCAAAAACTCAGTCTTTTTAACTTTCTAATTTAAAATTTTCATAACAATTCATTTTTTTCAATAGAGTAAGTTTTTTGAATATTCTTAAAGAAACTTTATTATTAATTTTTAGTTTACAAAGACATTGGGAAAACTGAATAACAGCAAACAATATAAATCAGTAAAAAATAGTATAATTTATAATTAAAGTATTTCTGTTAAGGGGATTTTAAAAAGTTTGAGCTTTAATCTGTCTTCCTTTATCTATCTGAGTTATCTTTCTTTAGGAAAGATCTGTTTAATTTTGTCTTAAATACATATCAAATTTAAACTTATTCAGTTATTACTAAGTAATTGCTTTAAAGCAAAACCAAATATAGTTCTATTTTTACTATTTTAAAACGGCAGTAGCTACAGTGGTTTCTAGTTTTTAAATCTGAATTACACTAGATTTCACAAAATATTTTTGATAACCAAAAATATTTGTTATAGACTTCTAAATATTTTTAAAAAAAAATTTTTTATTCGAACTCCACTTTTTAAGAAATTTTTTTTAATAAATATATGAATCATTTCTTGCAGTCTAATAAAGAAAAATTTGCCATGTTTGAAATACAACTGCTTGAATCATCCTTTCATATAGAAGTAGACATGTAAGAATGCATAGATCAAACAATTTACTGAAAATATTGGAAAGAACAAGCTAATTTAATAAATTAATCCAAAATAAACCGATACTTATGAGGAAGTAATTTACTGTAGACAATAATGTTACAGTATTTGTTGATTGAGGAGAGTCGGAAAAATTAAAATAGGTAACAGAATTGAAAAATATCTAGCAACATGTAAAATTAAATAAAGGAAAGATTTTGCTATTACTTTAAGTAACTTCTTTTTAAAGTAAATATATGTTGCATACATTTGAAAATGTCAATACAGTAATTATTTTTACCGCATTGTAAAAAATTTTCTGTATTTGACTTTCAGTACCGCAAATTTTGATTTCATGAAATTTTTAGTGTCTACTTTTAAGTTCAGCGTATAAAGGTTTGGTTGAAATGTAATTTTAAACAGCAAAAATAAAACAACAATTTTTAGACAAAAAACCCTTTCTTTTCTTAGTTTTAATAAATATAATATTAAAAAAGTAATAACGGGAAAGTCTACAGGAAAATATTTTAAATAAATTTTAAAAAAATATGTTCATTTAATTAAAAATTCCAGAAAAAATATTAGATTAATCACATTTCTTCTCCATTCTCAATAGTTAGTTAACGTATTAACCATACAAATTTCCTGCACAGTTTAAGCGTGTTTATGGAAAAAGAAAGGAAAAAAATATATTTATTATCAACACTAATACAATTAAAAATATAAAGCACTAAAATTGAATTGAATTTTTCCCATAAAATATAACGTTTATTGAATTTCAATTCAATGGATTACATCTAAAATATTTTAAAACAGTGAAAATGAAGTAACATCTCTTGAAAAGCAAATCCTTCTCTAGTTTAAGTCTGCAATCACACCCGAAACAGTCAAGACACAGAGTGTCTTAAAATAAAAAAAATCTCGACTACCGAACTGATATTTTTTATGGTTGCAATATTTCAAATAAAATATACATTTACCTTGAATAACTACATTTTTTGTAAAAAAATAAAGCAAATCACATCATGAATAATAGCTATCTCAATAAAAAAATAAACTTCAGAGTCTATAGATAATGAAATTAAAAATAATGTCTGAGTAAATTGATTTATTTAAAAATATTCTCATAATTTTATGATATTCATTAACCCTTTGACGCATTAACCCTTGACTTTTATATATTTTTTTCTGACACTCTAATTACAAGTAAAAATATATTTTGGTATTTTTTATTTGTTTAAAAACAGACTAATTGTTACTAAAATCAGTTAAATTATCGAAATTATATTTCTACTAAAATACAAAATCCAAAAACAGGAAGAAGAAAAAAAGGTGTTGGAAATTTTTTTTCATTCATACTCAAAATTTTATCAACAATTAATTTTGTAAATTAAAGAAATTTCAATGATGAATAACGGTTTTGCTTAAATCTAAATAAATGCAAATTTGAAAAATTATATTTTGGAAGTGTGCTGTGTTTGGAAGACCATTAACGCAGAAAAAGACATAGGTGTTTCATGCTGTATTTCATAATCATAAATTATTAAAATGCTAAATATTATATTTTCCAATGTTTAATAAAAATTTTGCGCTAAATTGTTAAAATTAAAACTGGTACAATAATTTTTTTTAGTAGGGAGACATTATTTCTAAGATTAAATGAGACTATACGCGAATATCAGTTTGAAATATAGTAAGTAAATACTTAAAATGATAATGAAATTATATTCACATCAACTCAATTTTCAGTTAATTATCTTTCGTATAAATCTGAAAAATTAATTTATTTGACACAGATTAGATAAATGTTTGAAAAATAAAATATTTACTGGTGCTAAGCCTGGGCATTCATATACTGTATAATCTCCTTCTTCATTTTCTTCTTCAGAATCAACATCTGAAGCAGATGTATTTTTGGTGGAACCAGCTCTGAAAAAAAAAATATTTTATTTTTGTTGATATAGAATTTAGTTTGAACAGGATAACACAGTTGCAAAATGGATAAATAAAAATTATTTTTAAGAAAGTATTAATGGTACGAAATATTATGTTTTTATTTAAAAATTTTAGAAACATATTTTACAAAAAAAATTATAAACTGTAAAGATGAATTTGTCACAAAAATGTTTAACTAAGGAAATTTTTCAGTCAACAAGAAAAGAAATTACATAATGTATTGGTCGTACAAATAAGTTTTAATATACATGAGGAGGAATTACTAGCTATAAATTTAATTGGATAATAACCTATCTATCTTCTTATTTAAAATGAATTAGAATATAGGTCTTAATTCATCTTATTTTGTGGAACTTGATTGCCCTTGAAACGCTGTTTAAAGGAAACAAGTACTTTTAATGCTTCCTTTGACAGAAAAAAAAACAGTTGAAGTTCATTAGTTGTATAAGGCTTGTGAAAACTACGTAGCTTCAATTTCAGCTTATGTGTACTAATTTAGATAGTCCAAAAGTGGTAATTCAGACATACTCGATAAGAGGGTCAACAATGTTTCAAAATGTAAAATTGAAGACATATCTTTGGAAATGATTCAAGCAATTTCATATATTCATTTTATTACACTACTAGCTGAATACATGTTCTTCGTTTGGATGAATTTAACAAAAAAATCAGTTAATCAGTATTGAACAACACTACGAAATCATGCAAAAACTGAAAAGCATATTGCAACACAATTGAAGTGCTTAGTGGAAGAACCATGTAAGTAATGTTTTTATAGATGTATATAAATCAGTGAAAATAAAAAAATAATTGCCTCAATATTGGTTTGTTTAATGTAACAACATTGTTTTCGCTTTCACTTTAATCTTAACATAACTTATCCAAATTAGTTTTTAGTAAACTTGCACGATTTTTATTTTCAAATTACGCAGTGATAAATAAAATAAGGCAAAGAATTATTAGTCCCGCTTTCTGATAAATGGGTTATAAAGTTTGGAGACTAGTTTTTTTCTTATCCTGATTATAACCTCACTAAAAATGTCATTTACCTGGTTTTTCCACTAAACTCTTCAATTGATAAAACTAAAAAAAAATTTATTTTCAAATTACGCAGGGGTACATAAAATAAGGCAAAGAATTATTAGTCCCGCTTCTTGATAAATGGGTAATAAAGTTTGGAGACTAGTTTTTTTCATATCCTGATTATAACCTCACTAAAAATGTCATTTACCTGGTTTTTCCACTAAACTCTTCAACTGATAAAACTAAAATAATTTCTTTTTTTTTTATCTCATTATTATTTGTTACCCTTCCCTTCAACGTATTAAATTCGTTATTATTACCTTTATGATAATATAATTAAATATAATTTTGATGAGATGAATTTTTTGAATGAATATATATGATTCTTTTTAATTCATCTCATTAGAATATAGATTAACTGTATTTAGCAGCATATGGCATGATGATATTGCTCGCGGCCTTCTTGTGGTATTCAAAATTTTCCACTCTCAAGTAATTTTCTCTGGTACATATTCAAGGGAATGTAAAACACTTATTTACTTACTTTATATAAAAAATTGCTTAGTTTTGGTGCAGTTTTAATAATTATCAAATATATCTATATAATATTTCATACTTACATTAGTATATTTGGTACTTATTAACTTATTTATAGCCCTTCAACATTTGAGTTTTGAGTGAAATACATTTATCAGTTGCTGTAAACTGAAGCCGAAATTTTAAAAACAAATAGAATTGTCCTAAGACCTTGATAAGGACGTTGAAGCATGACTATTTCGCTATTGACCTTTAATTGACTGTTTAAAATATTTTTAAGTAGTGGAAATAGATCTTTTAATTCTAATTCATTAAAATATTAATACACTATTTTTGCTACTACAGGAAAAAAACATGTATAAACATAAAACATTTAAAATAATAAGAAAAATTTAATTATCTCTAATTAAAATTAAAACAATGGCTAACGTTTAACCAGTCAGAAAATTCCATTTCGTTTTTAGCTCATTCCGCTTGAACGGTTCATCGTTGAATGCTCTAATGATGAAAGAAAGAAAGAACATATATATATATATACATATATATGTTCTGATGAAGACATTTTAAGTGTCTAATTATTTTTGATGTAATTTAATCATAAGCTGTGTAATGTTTGAAAACAAATACATGTGATGATTCATCAAATCAATTTTACACAAGTGTCAAGAAAAAAAAATAGAGAAAAGTGTTTACTTTTCCACAGCAATCATTTGTTGTTTTTGCAGTTGAAAATGATACATCTGAGCACTCTGTGCTAACTTCCTGTCTCCATTGGGAGATGTAACATCTTTGCAAGGTCCAGTCACTCCATAAGCAGGATAATCTACATCAGCAGCCGCTTTTTGACTTTTCTGTAACCTAGAAGACATTTTTATTAAAAAATCAATGTTACAATTTGGCAATGTGCATGTTGTAATGCTCCATTTTTTTTATTACCAATTTTATAATGTTTCTTTTTCTTTAAGCAAGTATTACTCTATTTAAACATAAAAGACTGTTGTCAACAAATATATAAATAAAATGGTATTCTGAGCATAAAATAGTCTGCTAACAAAAAAAAAAAATTCTGCTTTGAAAAAAAATTTTCAGGATAGATTATACTGATTACGGTTTACAGATAAAAATAAATCTAATGGACTTATAAAATGAATTTTTGTTTAATTAGTTTTTATAAAATAACTTTCATGGGGCGATCGTAGATTTCATTAAAATATTCTCAAAAATATATAACTGACACAGACTCTGTTGGCAGATTCCACTAACAAAGAGACTATTGAAACATACTAAGTCTAATTTTATTAATAAGTAATGAAGAGTCTAATTTTATTTCTATTCAATAATTATAGAGATCTAAAACATATTCTACACAGTGTGCACTATTTGTCGTACAATCAAATTATAACAAAGATATAATATCATGTTTTAGTTTTTCTAAATATTTTGGTTTTTCCAATACATTTTAAAATAAAATATAACTATATTCATAATATGTGAAACATTTAGGAACAAATACATGAAACATTTAGGAATTATTCAATTGATTTATTTTAAAATCAAAATTTAGAAAATAAGAATAAGAAAAAATGTGTAAAAAAATTTATATATTTATTGGAAATTGAATAGTAAAATCCATAAATGTCTATTTATTTATTAATAGCAGCATTAATATTATTATCGCTTGAAATTGTTTTTTAGTAAACAAGTTTAAATCCATGAGCGAAAATCTTTAAATCCATGCACTTAGGGTAAGCAAAATATAGTGATAGTCGATCCTACATATTTTTAGAGTGCTCAATTGGAAGAAAGAATGCATCTTTTCAAAATTCCTCTTCGTATCTACTTAAACTAATTAAAATTTAGCAATAATTACTTAACATAAATTAGATGGATATATTGATCTATATTTTAACTTAATATGAGAAAATTCTATCATTTGTCTAAGACCTTAAATGTGCTAATTAGGTAGTGCAGACTACATTTTAAGTTACAATATCGCACACAAAAATGTACTTTCTCTGAATAAACATTTGAATAACATACTGATTCAAATTTCTAACCCCCAAAATATAGGAGGTCGCCGAAATCTGGGAAATATGGTTCCAATAGTTAGGTCAGGAGAGCGGTTCAAAGTTTGGACCCCTTAATGTTAATTTTACATTTTGCGTACTTCACCACATCTTGAGAACTTTTTAAGCGAATTGTAAAACTTTTTCACTCATTTAAAAAATTCTTCTATACAAAGATAATTTCTAGCAAAATATTACTTTCAGTAAATATTTATTATTTTTTATTATTTTATTTTATAATAGTCGTTACTTTTAAGTGGAAGGTAAACAGTTTTTAACATGATTTTAAAGAATGCAATTTTAAATGGCCAAATCGGTCGAATAGTTTCTTAGAGATAAAATTTTGTAAAGTCGTATTTTTAAAATTCGATTTTTCAGTCAGACTGATTTTGTTCAATCGGACTAAAAAATTATAGACTTTACAAATCAAAATTTTTTCGACTGTTATTAAATAAAATAATAATAAATACTCACTAAAATTTATTTTCTGTATACAGTTATATTTGGTTAAACTAATTTTATAACTGCCTGCGAAAATTTTTCAATTTGCTTGAAAATTTCTCGAGATAAAGCGAAATACGCGATAAGTAAGATTACCATTAAGAGGATTAAAAACTAATTTAACCGCTAAGCGAAACCTGTGATATTTTAAAGTCAATTATCCAAATTTTGGACCGATCTCCTGATTAAATTATCAGGACCATATTTCCGTCATTGCGGCTATCCACTATAGTTTGGGGGTCACAAATCTGAATACGTCGAAAAAAAAGGTCTGTTTACTCAGACAAAGTACGTTTTTGTCCCTGATTTCGTAACTTAAAATATCGGCTGCACTAACTAATTAGCATATTTGAGGTCACCCCCTCGAACCATTAAGCTTGAGTCCTAGAACGTGAAGATCTGATCAAAAGTTATTCAGAATGATTCGTTTAATTCTTCAGCGCACTGTACCTCTTTTTCTGTAAAATTGTCTTTTCTGCACATGAACAATGTACGCAGGAAAAGTAATAAAGCTTCCTTTTTTTAAAGCTTGATGATACGTTACTCATCAGCAATGTCCTTTTTTTCTTAACTGTACATGCAAGAAAAGCAATAAGCTGCATTTTTTTTATCCTATGGAACTATTTTTCCTGCAACGCAAGTGTAACACAACGCTTGGTGAAACTTAGGTTTTCTCCAACTGAGTGCACTCCTTTTTCTGTAAAACTGTTTTCTCTGCCAATAAACAATACGTGCAGGAATAGCAATAGCTTAAAGGAGAAAAAAAAATACATTTTTTAATATCTTTATTGTTTGCATTGCCTGAGGTTTTTTTTTTTTTTTTTGGTNTATGTAGCACAAAATATTTTTTTTTTGGAACAATAAAGCTTCCCTTATTAATGCCTAGTGATATGTTTATCTTGCTCACCTGCTAATGCCTTTATTTTTTTAAAACTGTTTTTCTTTACTTTACGTTTATGAAAGAAAAGCAATAAAGCTACACATCCTCATCCCTCCCTCCTTATGAAACTGTTTTTACACTTATTTTTTTGTGTAACTGTTTTATCTGCAACTGAACTGTACTTTCAGAAAAAGCTATTTAGCTGAGTCTTTTTTTTTTTCCCTTCGAAAAAGCTGTTTTGCCTGCTAATGAAAGATTCAAAATAAAAAAAAGTTGTAACGCAACACTCGGTGAAGTATATTATAACTAATCCTCTTTTATTTTTTATTTATTTATTTTCTTAGAAAGAAAAAATTCCATTTCATTGAATGAAAATTTTTGAGATAAACTATGGTCAAATAAAAAATACATCTTTTTGAAGAAGAACAAAAAAACTAGTTTAACCGATGAGCGAAACCTGCGTTATTTTTAAGTCGGTTATACAGAAACAGAGCTTGCGAACATTTTAATTTCAATTTTTACGGATATACATTAAGATAGATTTTTAAACTCCTTACATTTAAGCTCATAAAGATGCTTATTTCAAACAACGATAAATAAACAATCGTTCTTCCATAAAAATATAATGCAAATAAATAAGCCATCATTAGTTATGTTTTAAAAATATATTTCTAACTAAAACCACCTAAAAAAACGTTTCAAATAAAAATTACACGTTTTGTGAGTTTTGTCAAGCTTAATTCTGATTTCAATTTGGCTAAAGTAGAAAAACAAATTCTTGAAAAAACAACAAAATATTATGCTGCTTTTAAAATAAAACAGCAAGAAACAATTCTTAAAGATTCATGAGTTCAAGATTGTTTTAAAGCAAAAGAGATATCTTTATTTTGATTTTAAAAAATGCTACTTAACCCTTTGACGTAGATTATTTATCAAAAATATTTTGTATACTTTTTTTTTATTATTTTGAATTAATATAGGTCCAAATAAGAGAAAATTATAATATTTAGCATTTTTATTATTTATGGTTATGAAAACACCGGTGTCTTTTTTTGCGTTAAAGGTAAAAATTTTCAAACTCAACTCACTTACAAACAAATTTGCACTCATTTACAGTAATTTCGATCTAAGAAAAATAGTTACTCATCATCGAAATTTCGTTAATTTACGAAATCAATTATTGATAAATTTTTGAATATGAATGGAAAAAAAAATTTTAACTACTTTTTTCTGAATATATTTTAGTACAAATATGATTCCGATAATCTAACAGAACAGATATTTTTTAGTAACTATTAAACTGTTTTTCAAAATTAAAAAATACCAAAATATGTTTTGCTTGTAATTAGAGCTTCAGATATAATTTGTACAAGAAAATGAGTGATTGAGAAAAGTTAGGGCTTTCTAGTTTTCTACATTAAATTAAAAATGAGTTTGTTATTCTAGATACAATTTAATTTTTTGACATAAACTTTCATTAAACTAATTTTTGATACTTTTTGTTTTATATTTTGAATTAATTTAGGTTAAAATAAGTAAAAATTATTGCATTTAGCATTTTAATAATTTATGGTTATGAAAACTTCGGTGTCTTCTTTTTGCGTTAAAGGTAAAATCTTAGAACAAGGCTCAGTTCCAAACAATAATTTTTCATATTTGAACTTATTTGTAGTAATTTCAATCTAAGAGAAACAGTTACTCATCATCGAAATTTCTTTAATTTACAAAATCAGTTATTGATAAATATTTGAATATGAATGGAAAAAAAATTTAAACTACTTTTTTTTGGATATTATATTTTAGTACAAATATAATTCCGATAATCTAACAGATTTTTTAAGTAACTATTAAACTGTTTTTTAAAATTAAAAAATACTAAAATAAGTTTTTGCTTGTAATTAGAGCTTCAGATATAATCTTTACAAGATAATAAGAGACTGGTAAAAGTTAGGATTTTATAGTTTTCTGTGATAAATTAAAAATGAGTTTGTTATTCTAGGTACGCTTCAACTTATTGACGTAGAATTTTTATCAAACAAATTTTTTATATTTCGAATTAAATTAGGTCGAAATAAGTGAAGAATATTATATTTAACGATTTAATAATTTATGGTTATGAAACACCGGTGTCTATTTTTGCGTTAAAGGTAAAGTCGTGCAAACCTAGATCAGTTCCAAACAATAATTTTTCATATTTGCCTTTATTTGTAGTAATTTCAATCTAAGAGAAACTCATCATTGAAATTTCTTTAATTTGCAAAATCAATTATTGATAAATCTTTGGATATAAATGAAAAAATTTTAACTACTTTTTTTGTATTTTATATTTTATGCAGTACAAATATAATTCCGATAATCTAACAGATATTTTTAGTATATATCAAACCGTTTTTATATAAAAATACTAAAATNATTATATTTCACTATTTATTACTATTAAATGAAAAAGAAAAATGCATTGAATTGTGATAAAAGTCACAATATAATGATTTAGATTATAACTTAACGCCAGGCCAGGAAGATGGAAAATATCTCTCATTTAGTTCTAACTCTCTCATAACTCTCATTTAGTTCTTTTATGGGAAAAAAATTTCAGGATTAGCTATTATTATTATTATAAATTAATCTGCTGCTATAAAAGACATATTATAATACTTTATTTAAATTATATTTCACTATTTATTACTATTAAATGAAAAAGAAAAATGCATTGAATTGTGATAAAAGTCACAATATAATGATTTAGATTATAACTTAACGCCAGGCCAGGAAGATGGAAAATATCTCTCATTTAGTTCTAACTCTCTCATAACTCTCATTTAGTTCTTTTATGGGAAAAAAATTTCAGGATTAGCTATTATTATTATTATAAATTAATCTGCTGCTATAAAAGACATATTATAATACTTTATTTAAATTATATTTCACTATTTATTACTATTAAATGAAAAAGAAAAATGCATTGAATTGTGATAAAAGTCACAATATAATGATTTAGATTATAACTTAACGCCAGGCCAGGAAGATGGAAAATATCTCTCATTTAGTTCTAACTCTCTCATAACTCTCATTTAGTTCTTTTATGGGAAAAAAATTTCAGGATTAGCTATTATTATTATTATAAATTAATCTGCTGCTATAAAAGACATATTATAATACTTTATTTAAATTATATTTCACTACTTATTACCATTAAATGAAAAAGAAAAATGTATTGAATTGTGATAAAAGTATATAACGATAAAAAGTATATCACAATATAACGATTTAGATTATAAAGATGGAAAATATCTCCATAAAAATTCTGCACATTTGAAAAAGGGATAATTACAACTGAGATTTTGAATCGAAAATTCTCTAAACTTGTGAATTAAAATAAAACAGCAACAAACAAAACTTCGAGAATTGATTTCTAAACATACTAAACCTACTGAAAAGAAATAGTCGAAAGAAAAGAATTGAAAATCTGAATAAACTAAAATTCAAAATTATTACAAAAGTCACCAAAAAGGGGTTGCTACCTACAGTGTATGCAAGTAATCCTTTGCTTGCGCAATAAGATCCGGTGAAGCCTTGTCCATGGCAGAGCTACTGCAAAAATGACGAGGACATCCAATATCGCAGGAATGCATCGATAGGGGAATAAGTAAAAAAAAATAATACAGAAAGGGGAAAACGTCAAACCAATCCATCTATAGGCGGCAGCAATTTAAAATACCCGACCCCGCATTTAATTGTTGAGCTGTAGGAATAAAGTTCTTGGCTTTATTGAGAGTGCTTTAGATGACAAAAATGTAAGTCTTCAATTTATCACCCAGGCCATCAGGGAGACGGTAAAAAAAACTCTCATTTAGTTCTTTTACGGGAAAAAAAAATTCAGTATTAGCTATTATTATTATTATAAATTAATCTGCTGCGATAACAGACATATTATAATGCTTTATTTAAATTATATTTAGCTAGTTATTACTATTAAATGAAAAATGTATTGAATTGTGATAAAAGTCACAATATAATGATTAACTATAATGATTAGTAACTTAACGCTAGGAAGATGGAAAATATCTCCATAAAAATTCTGCACATTTGAATTCATTTCATTAATAATTTTTTAAGATGAAATACGTGGGGTTACTTTAGGACTTTTTCTTTTTGATATCTCGTTTAAATCGCAACGCAGAGCTCTGAATATTTTACAATCTATAATTCACACAACTCTTTTTTAATGTGTCAATTAAAATTTTTAGCTAAAAGATATGCAAATCTTTTTTTAAAACAATGTTTTTGTGTCACAAAGTTACCACCTTGAGTGGGGTAACTTTGAGATACCTAATTTCTCGATTTAAAATCGACTTATATTTTATTTTAGGTAAACCTTCTTGATGTAAAATATAGACAATTTTATTTCAAAATATATCTAAAAACTTTTAATGTGAAAATTTTTGTTAAAAAATATGTATTAGTATTAATTTTTCATAATAATGATTAATTCTGTTATTATTTATCATCATTATTGATACGATTATTATTATTAATTATATTATTATTATAAGTCCACTAATATTATGAATTCTTGCATCATTATTATTAATTATATTACTATTATTTAAAATGAAACTTGAAAATCAACAAGCAAATTCTGAGAAACTTTGCTTGGAGGTGGAATCGTTTCTTATTTAACTTCTGGTCGTTTCTTATTAACTAACTTTGTCTGGTTTTATACCAGACAAATTCGAGTGGTTCAACGATATCAAATATATTGATGTTTTCACTCTCATTGATATATCATCAAGCATATTTCTACTATCATACAATTTACTGTGATACTGAATAACATTATTAGTTGTATTTGTTTCATCAATGGATCAGATTTTTCATAAAAAGTAATAATTAAAATTACAAAATTTCAAAATATGGTGTTTTAGGTTAGAACTTTCGAGCATTAAAGGATAACCATATTTTTGGGTGTTTTTGTTATCGGCTTACAAATATGCATCATAAAGAATTGAGATTAGGAGAATAAAAGGGCTGGGCGATCGACAGGACAATCGCTGCATTTCGGAACTTTAAGCAACAACAATATAAATGAAACTGATTGAAATTAAAAAGAAATAAAAAAAATTATGAATGCCTTGCATAATTAGCCACTAAGTTTTGACTGAATCTCGCAATTACGTTAGAAAATACAAAACCTTTATTTAACTTTGCCCAATCAAGATCGAGGTCAATCACAACTGAAGAATGATTCGAATCTTCATTCTTCAAAAACTAGTTTAAATGAAAATAAAGACCTGCCCCATTAGACCAAAAAAAAAAACTGATTTTCGAATTTTTTTTAATCCCTCCTTATCTCTGATTGGCCTGAATAAATGTATTTAAGAAGATCATTGCTAGACAACAATAACAACAATTGCTAGACATTCAACTCACACATATATACACCAAAGAGCCATTACATTATGGCCACCCTCCATCTATAACAATGGGCTCGCTAAGGTTTTCTTGGTTTCTCGCCCAGGAACAATGTTTTCATGGGGCACATTAGGACCCATAATCCTCATAGAACAATCCCTGACGTCTTTAAGCTACTTGAACATAGTTCACCCATTCATGGCAACAGTTTTTCCTGCGGGAGATGGAGTTTACCAACAGGATAATGCACCATGTCATAAGGGTCGAATCGTCATGGATTGGTTCGAGGAACATTCCAGTGACTTTCAAGTCATGCGTTGGCCCCCAAATTCACCTGACCTTAATCCAATAGAGCATTTGTGGTCCTACTTGGAAAACCAAATTCGTGCTGCCACGCTACCCCCTCGCAATGTGAGGGAATTGCAGGACCAGTTGGTGAGCGCTTGGTACCAGATACCTCCGACTACCTATCAGCACTTTGTGTAATCAGTGTCACTGCGGGTGCTAGCAGTTTTGAGGGCTAAAGGTGGTCTTACATGTTATTAGCAGGGTGGTCATAATGTAATGGCTCTTCGGTGTACGTAGTTTCAATACAGTGCTCCTAATTGTATCAACATGATCTAATTTAATTTAATTAAGCAAAACAAAAACTTTTAAAAAATTTCATAAATTTTTTTATCTTTTTTTTAAATTTATAACATTTTACCCTTAAAAATCAGTAGGTAATATCGCAACATTTGTCTTCATTAGAGTGTGAAATCTCAATAGTAAACCCAATTCATTTTTAAATCTTTGGCGCAAAATTTTCCTTAAACATATTTTTCATACTTTTTTCATTATTTTGTAGTAATTTAGGTCAAAATAAGTGAAAAATATTAATTAGCATTCTAATAACTTATGGTTATGAAACACAGCATGAAATACCATTGTCCTTTTCTGAGCTAATGGAAAATCTTCCAACTATGGCTCATTTCCAAACAATAACTTTTTTAGTTTGCACTTATTTGCAGCTATTTAGATCTAAGAGAAACAATTATTCATAATTGAAATTTCTTTAACTTATAAAATTAATTATCGATACATTTTTGAATATGAATAAAAAAAAATTTCAAATCGAAATTTCATTCTGACAATCTAACAGATTTATAGTCACTATTAGATTGTTTTTTATCATTAAAAAATACCCAAATATATTTTTACTTGCAGTTTGAGCGCCAGAAAAAAATTTATGTAAGGCGCAGGGGTGTCCTGTTTGTGCTATAGGGTTAAAAGTTAATTAAGCATAATAAAATTTCATTAAAAAGGAAAATTATAGCTTGCCTGTAAAAACAGATGCCAGCTGATATAACACCAAATATACCAACAGCGCAGCATCCTGCTACGATTGCTGCAATAAAAAAAAGCACGTATAATGTATGCATGCATATTATTATTAAGAAAAAATTAACATTTCATTCAGTCCAAAACTAACTTAAAACTTTAAAAAAAAAATTTCTATATCTTTAGGTTTATGAGAACATGACTGCAAAAAAAATTAAAAAAAAAATAAAATCTAATTTCTACTGCAATTAGTTTCTACTTTACATCGAAGAACTTTTTTCTTAACATCGAAAAAGCAAAAAGAAATCATTAAAAAAAAAAAAAATAAGAAAATTTAATAAGTTCAAAACTAATCTGAAATTTTTGAAGAAAAAAAAAAGGATTGTCGTGTAGTACTTACATTCAGCGATTAAAATACGTGAAGGCAAAAATATCATAATTCTACTGTTAATAGTTTTTACTAAACTAGATAATGCGGGGGGGGGGGAATATCTCCACTTTAACAAAAAATAACTCAAGTACTTTTCAATAACTTTTCACATCAAAATCTTAAATATTTTCAAAAAAATGCACTAAATTTTGTATTTTTTTTTATCCAATAGTTCTCGAGAACAATACAAGCGAGCTGGGCAAAAATTATCTCTCTCTATATATTTTTTAAGATGATTTTAAAGCTTGATATGCCTTGTACCTGTTAAATTCCAACAAAAAACGCATTTAGAAAATTTTTAACTCATTGATTTAACAAATAACCGTTTGGAACAAAATGTCTGAAAATATTTATTTGTTCTTTATATCTCAAAATAACTTACCAACAAAGTAAACATCACTGAAAGATTCATCCTCTTTCCTAATAACTGTTTCAACTTGTTGTTGTTTTAGTGTGTATGGGTCACCTTTTTTAGGTGAAGTGCCAACGGCTTCATCTTGTGCAGAAGATGTTCTGTACATATCACTAAATGTAGTAGAGCTTTTGTCGGGAGAATCTAAGGAGAAATCAATGATACTTAGGGTAAACTAGGGAAAACCAGCAACGTTTATTTTACACTATGAGAATAATTTTTATAAAGTATTAATATATTGTATTATCAAATATTTATTTAGATCAAGGTTTCAATATTGCAGCATTCTTTAATTCGATCTGTTGCCATTTTAAAATTAAAATGTTTATAAAATTAAAGGAATATAATTTTAAATTTAGAATGATAACAGTAACTTCACTGAATTGATTAATGCAATGATTTTAAAGATAGACTAATATATAATAATGAATAGGTCCTTCCATAGTTACTACACTGTATAACTCAACAAAAATTTAATCATGAAGACAATAATAAATTTGATTACTTTATTAATAAAATATTATTTTATAACCGTCGTTGAACAGCCGACCCAATTTTTGGGTTGATGACTACTAATGTTCAACTCCGTAGCTTTGTAATTTTGAATCCAATCCATTTTTGATGGAACCGCATTTGCGTTAAGTGGAGAGGAAGACCACGAGAACCTCCCACGGTTAGCCTGTCGGCAAAGGGACTCTAACCCATTATCCGTCTACCACTGAGGATATTTTACGTCAACACTGTGGTAGGTCAAAGCCGAATGCGGAATTCTGATCTACCAGCCATCGCTGGGATTCGAACCCGGTTCACCTCATTAGAAGGCAAAGGCTCTGAGCCATCACAGTAATATAGTGACGTAGCTCGAAGCGAAAGAAGAAACATTTATCACCGGGCGCTGCTTTAGAGGGTCACCAAATTGCAGAAAAATAAATTCCAGTATTAAATGTTTATTTCTTTTATATAGGTACCCCAGTTCAAAGCTGGACCTATTGCTTCTTTAAATTTTTATCCGATTTAACTTGAATAGGATATCTATTATTGCTGTGATTTGCCTTGCAGACGGTTTTTTTTTCCGTTCTTTTCTTTTTTTTTAACAAATTAATGTCATATTGAATGAAAAATGTTCTTAGAAATGCTATTCAATTAATTAGTCAAAAACAATAAAAGCGATCAAAAACATCTAAATGTAATCGAAACTTGTTAATATCATACACTGTTGAATTTTTAAAAGAAATCGAACGAAAATTTGTGAAGTCATCGAGCTAGTTATTTTAACAAAAGCATTTGAAACTTCCAAAAATTAATTCAATGTAATATTTAACAATCCTATGCCAAGTATGGTGAACTTACGGTTTTTCGGTTACAGTTTTTACGTAATTAGAAGCTTAAAATGGTCTCGAAGTCTGAGATCATATTGTAAGAGGGCCCCAAAACTGAGTTTGTCCCCGGGAGCTGTAAATTTTAACTACGCCACTGGAGTAATATTTGTAAATTTTTAGATATTAATGGAAAAAATAGAAACTTGAACACTTAAAGCAAATAAGAAAATTAATAATAATTTGCAAAATCAACGATAACTACAACTAATTGGTCCCAACATTTAAAAAACTTGATATTTAACTATTCTGTTATAATTTTAATAAAATATCATTTTCTTTTTAAGAAAAAAAATAATTCATTGAGACCGTTTCTTTTTCTTTGAATTGGAAAAACAATATATTATCTGACACGCAGGATTTGAAAGCTTCATATATTATATTTATTCGCTAAGTTTGACACATATTTTTAATAAAATAACTCTGTCTGAAATAATAACGTTCCATGCAAGCGTAAATATGTCAACGACATCAACAACTTAGGCAACATCCAATAGAGTATACAGGGTTAAAATAAACGATCTTTAAAAGAATTAAGACAGCAGGTGGTTAAATTGGGGAATGTTTAACTTTTCTTTAGGCGTTGCTTAACTGACAGATTTCTTCGGCGCCAAATGTATTAAACTAGAACTACATTAGATCTCACTTATGCTTTAAAAAATGAATATCAAAGGATAATGCAACTTTAGAGCATGAACGAATACTGTCTTTTTTTTTATTTCTAATTTTGAAAAATCACCGTTAAAACTTTTAAAATAATGCTTCCTCTTGAACCCACTCTTGAAATAAATGAAAATATTTTTAAAAAAAAATTTTTTTTAAAAATGAAATTTAAAAAAAATTGATTAACTCCTGTTTAATTACAATGAATTTTTCAAAAAAATAGGTAGATTAAGTTCCAAGGTCAGCTCAGTGGCACACAAATGGGTCAAACCCAATGGGTTTAAATCGTAAGCCGCCGCTGTTTTGAGTGTTCAGCTTAACATAACATTTTGTTTTGCTACGCAAATCCTATAACATTTAAACAGGTGAAATTACGAAAATGTGTAGAAAAATGTAAAGGGAGTACGATATAATAAAAAAAATTTAGCATTCACTAATTAGTTCCAGAAATAATAACTCTTAAACTTGTAAAAAATACCATAGAATATCATGAAAATCATGCGTAGAAAAATGTAAAGGGAGTATGATAGAATATAAAAAAAATTAACATTCGATGCAGCCTCCTTGTATTTGTAAAATGTAAGCCAGTGTATTGTATAACTTATTGATCGCCATTTTTCACTGCGGTAATTCTTATACTGCAAGATAGGTTGGATTCTTATTAAGAGGTGAAGATTCAAATAAATTTAGTAAAATTAGAAAAGTCAATTTTTAAAGGACACATGTTACACATTCGGACTATTTTCACCCTGAGACTAGTTCTTTTTTCTTTTAAATTTTCATTCTATAACTGTCGTTAAACAACTGACCCAATTTTGAATTTACGACTACCAATGTTCAACTCCGTAGCCTTGTAATTTTAATTCAGATGACAGGGACAAGGGAACTATTGGATCAAGTATTGGGACATATTTGCCTTCGTGGAGGACTATTTCATGGAATTAACTCCCATTAGCATAACATGGCGTGGGAAACCACGAAAAACTCCTACGGTTAGCCTGACGGCAAAGGGACTCAAACCCATGATCCATCTACCACTGAGGATATTTTAAGTCAGCACTGTGGTCGGAGCAAGCCCAGTGCGAAATTCGTATCAACCAGCCATCGCTAGGATTCGAACTCTGCTCACCTCATTGGGAAGCGAGCGCTTTATCCCTTGATTCACCACGGGTCTTAAGATAAAGTTTGTTATGCTGTGTCAACGTTAAATTTCGTTGTTTGTAAATTGTAAACGAAATTATTGAAATAATTGTTCTATTTGAAATTATAATTTGTACTGATACAAAAATCGCATTATGATGCTCATTCATAGTTTGAAATCCAAATCAGAATTGTAAATAATACCGTAAATATCAATTTCACAAAAAAGTTTTTTTTTTAACTTAAATATTAATAGCAATATATATATATTTAAATTATATAATTTTATCACTTAATTCATTCGTCTAAAAAAACTATTGGTCAGCTTTCTTTGAAAAACTATAATTATTTTCAGAAAAGTTTTTTTTAGTCTAGTTTTTAACTACCATTGCGAAGTTGATGCGATTGAAAGAAACAACCTAGAATAATGTTTATCACCAAAAAAAGGAAGAGGACAAGCTTTTAATTTCTTTCACTTACATTAATTGTTGTTTTGCAAGACAACAAATACACTTTATCAAGGTCTTTCAAAATGCCTTCGCAGTTTGAAAGAACACTTTATCAAGGTCTTTCAAAATACCTTCGCAGTTTTAACATACAAAATATTCAGAACAGCTACAAATCGCAACGAGTGAAAAGCCTGTCTCCATAGAATTAACATAGCAGTGAATATAAATCCTCTTGTAGAATTGATGAAAAATTTAAAGTGAAAGAAAAATATTATTCTATGTCTCACCTATGTTTTCTCCAATATGCTCTTCAGCATCCACATCCTTAAGGGAAGAGAATGCCATTGCTTTGGCATTTGCTTCTCCATCATTATTTGGTCTCTTTATGGATGCAGATGAAGCTGCAAAACTGTGTGATTCTCTGTTCGAATTACTTTGAAATGGACCCTTTAACGAAGGGAAGGGATACACAAGTTCTTCTACAGGATCCTCTGACTGCTGCCCTAATGATGGAGTGTTTTCAGGTAAAAACGCAGTGCGAAAATTGTGTGTAGTCTGCACCGGCGGCTGCTGGGATAAACGCCTGAAATATTCTTGCAGATCCTTCTGTAAAACAACAGCTGTAACAGAAAAATTAGAAACATATTTAGACAAAACAGATGAGGCAAAGAAAAATTTTCACATCAAAATCAATTATTCAATTATATTATTCAATTATATTATTCAATTATATTATTCAATTATATTATTCAATTATGTTATTCAATTATGTTATTCAATTATATTACTCAATTATATTATTCAATTATAATTTTCAATTATAATTAATCAATTATAATTTTCACATCAATTTATTATTTTAAAATAATATTTAAACTCTTATTTTACAATTACTTATTTCTTCACTAGTAAATATTATACTGTGCATTTGAGATTATTTCATCAATTTAACACTAGAAAGACTGAAACACCTATATTGCCCAAAAGCAGTCAAAATGACTGGATTGTGAAAAAATGAATAATGTGTAAAGAAATTTGTTTAAAATTAATTTTTAATATTTTTTATATTACTTACAGTTATGTAACAAGCTATTAGTATATATTAACAATAAAAAAAATTTATGTTGTACTCGTACAAAAAGTCACAAAATTCTAAGAAATTGCGTCATTGTTGTTTTTCTAATTGAAATTAAAAAGCAGTCAAAATGACTTCTTTAGGGAATCTAGTGTTAAGACGGAAAATGAAGCCAAATATGGTGATTGTGTGCATAGGAAAATTTTCATCAATTCAAAAAGGAAAGGGGGAAAAAAAGTACTTATCTAATGACATCAAGTTGGTGGGTGTTGACCACAAACTCAAAACCCATCCCTTCACTCAGCTTTATCTTTTGGCAGTCTCCCCAACATCTAGGAGTTACGTATTTTTGTTTTTTTGTTTTTTCAAAATATCAAACACGTTAACTTTAATTATTCAGTCTGACATGTATTTTCGAGATTTTTCTATTTTAAACAATTGGCATCTCATTTTACGGTTGCAGCTCTGTCTGGGAACCAAAATCAATGAGGTGCTATTTCTGGAGGCTCAAATCTGCCGTAGAAAATGGGGATTCTTGCTTTCAAGATTTCCATGTTACCCCCTGAGTATGAGATGGGGGCCAATTCTGGTATTCTTGATTTGATATCAAAAAACAACCTGTTCATAATAACCTTTCCCTTTGTAGTCCTCTACAAACAAACATAGCAAAATAAATAAATAAAACATTCGTGATTTTCATTTTTAGTTTAAAACAGGTTTTTATTATTGGAAATGGAATAAATGGAACGTTAAATACTTGTATAAAATCATTTAATATAGAATAGTTCATTCAACACAATTCAGTTTATAAAAAAAAGTTGCAATACTTTTCTATGTGGTTATCAACTAAGAAAAGAAATGAAAAAATTTATTACCATTTTAGACTGTAAATTCAACTGTCTCACATAAAACCCAATTTTACGCCCAGTACCCGATTTTAAGCCTAAACTACACAGTGAAAAAATTTCGTTCTTCATTTATTTATTAAATATTTTCAAAATAATTAATAAAATTTTTAATTGGGAATCGCTGCTCTATGCAATGCTTCCTTAGAAATGTTATTTTTAAGCATAATATCTTATTTAGAACATTCTTAACTCTCTTTAAAATTAACGAATCAAAAAACCAAGTTTACGAACACCTTCTGACTATAAAAAAAAAAATTGTGAAGTATGATGTAATTAATTCAAAAAAAAAAAAACTAGATACTAAGTAGACACTACGTATAAACGAAAAAATTCACTTTTATCCGAGAAATTAAGATTATATTAACGACGAGCAAGCTGTGACCGTCGTTTGTAACATGCCAGCGTAGCTAAGAATCCGTTCACTCCGTGAAATACGGTAAATCCCATCGAAATTGATATGAAGTTAACTCAAACGTTTCATCAAACAATTTTCCTACAAAACTATATTACAAATAATACATTACACAATACACAGTTATGTAACATGCTTTTCCCTTATCTTACAGAAAGGAGCGGATTTCGCTGTAAAACAGCACTCTTATTCATAAGGAAGTTTTTCTAGCGCCGATTCAACCTGAATGAGATAGAAAAAGCGAACTTCTACTACCAGAAAAAGTGAAGGGAAAAGTAGAACGAAATTATAAAAATAAATAAAGAATGAGGAATGATTAAACACAACGGAAAAAAAGGTATCAAATTGAAAAAATTTAATTAAACTAGAATCTGTCTTCAACAGAAAATCTAGCTTTTTTTTCGGTGGTTTATATTTGCAATAATTAATCGTTGTATCATATTCTAATTAGTAATATTTATAAAACAGATACATGTTGGCTATATTATTACAAGTAAATTTTAAAAAAATTAAGACAATTCCTACTTAGCTCAACAAAAACAAATTTCATTTTAGTTACTTTCCATTAAATAATTAAAAAAATTTCTCCCATATGAAACTAAAATTAATTAATTAAATTTAATTAATGAATTAATGTTTGAAAAAACTGTAATAATATCAAGTGTCATCCAGTACAAGTTTTAAAAAAATGTATTTGAACTTGAGAGGATTAATATAAAGTATTTTATTAACGATTGAAAATATGAACAAGATACATAAATATACACAGGGTGAATGTGAACTAATAGTAGGAATTGAATGAAGAAAAAAAATTAATATTTTTAAAAACCACGTTTTTGTAGTGGAGAATAATAATTCAAAAACAAAAATTTGAAAAACGAAAAATGTGGGGTGCAGGAAATACATAACAGTAATGTTATATTAGTGTGTGTATGTGTGCTCATGAGAATATGTGTATGTATATCTGTATTTGTAATTGTATATGAATGTGGATGCGTATGTGGAATATGTTTGTGTATATGCATGTGTATGAGGATGTATATGTGGATGAGTAAGAAAATGTGTATATGTATGTGTATATGTACTGTTATGTATTTCATGCGCACCACGTTTTTCGTTTTCAAATTTTTGTGTTTTAATTATTATTCTCCGCTACAAAAACGTGGTTTTTTAAAATATTACCTTTTATTTATTTATTTATTTTATTTTTTTTGTACTCACTTCTAAAATCTCAATTTTTTCACTCACCGTACACAAAACTTTTCAACTGACATGTGACACTAATTTCAAATAATCGAATCAACAACAAAAGACAATCGCGAAAATATTAATTTTTCTTTAATTTTATTTTACTTTGTATGTCTTCTTTCTCTTCGTTTTCATGCATTGTCATCCAATTCTGAACTATGTGCCGAATTTGAAGTCTGTAGCTACTCGGGAAGTTAGTTTAAAATCGATTACAAAATTCCCCCTGAACAGACATACACGAAGGCAAGTTGATATAAACGTGGTAAAAAAGGCGTGTGGTATCAGACAAGGATAAAAGTATAAATTTGGTGACGTGGATCAAACGTGCTACCACCTAATGTTCTTTATTGAATTTATCTGACACANATGATTATAACAACTATTTAGTGATAAAAAATGAATATTAATCATGAATATAAGCTTATAAAGTATCTCTGTGGCTCTCCCTTACAAACAAATAATATAAACTGTGCTTTTAAGTTCCACCTTTAAAAATTTGATTTCCGGAAGCATAAGTGATCAATGATGTTTTGAAACGTCTGGAATTTCGATCTCCGAAAACTTCCGGATCACTGTTACCGAAAAATCCGGAAATCAGGATTTTTCCGGAGCACAATCAGCCCTGATTATTATTCTCCACTACAAAAACGTGGTTTTTAAAAATATAACTTCTTTTTTTTTTGTACTAACTTCCAAAATCTCAATTTTTTCCCTCACTGTACACAAAACTTTTCAACTGACATGTGACGCTAATTTCAAATAATCGAATCGACAACAAAAGGCAATCGTGAAAATATTAATTTTTCTTTAATTTTATTTAACTTTGTATGTCTTCTTTCTCTTCGTTTTCATGCATTGTCATCCAATTCTGAACTATGTGCCGAATTTGAAGTCTGTAGCTAGTCGGGAAGTTAGTTTAAAATCGATTACAAAATTCCACCCGAACAGACATACACGAAGGCAAGTTGATATAAAAGTGGTAAAAAAGACGTGTGGTATCAGACAACTATAAAAGTATAAATTTGGTGACGTGGACTAGACGTTCTACCACGTAATGTTCTTTAATGAATTTATCTGACACAGCGAATAATTAAATATTTAAATGTGAGCAATAAACTATTTTTTTTGTTAAAATAGAGTTATAAGTTAGAAATTATCACTGACGCTATCTTTAAAATATATGAAAAACTGAATCGCTTACAGTAAAATTTAAAACAATGACTAACCAATCAGAAAATTCCATTTCGGTTTTCACTCCCTATTTAATTTATGAATTAATATTCGAAAAAACTGAATTAACATCAAGTGTCGTACACTACAAGTTTAAAAAAATGTATTTGAACATGAGTGGATGAATAAAAATTAATTTATTAACGATTGAAAATTTGAACAAGATATAGGGAGAGTCTGAACTAATAGAACATTGAAAAAATACTAAAGTTAAAATGTCTTTTTAATTATAAAGACATTCAACTACAATTTAATGACATTTATAATATTTCAAAAATACGAACTAGTAATAACTAATCATTTAATCACATTCCATTTAACAATTTTTAAAAAACAGTTTTATTTTGGTTTAATAATAAATACGCTAAAAAGAAAAATTGTCTTTTCATTTACACAGACGTACAACTACAGTTTTATTGAAAAATTAAACACCGCGTTTTAAACGGAGTCATAATTTATTTTAAAATGCCCCAAATTAAAAGATAAATAACAAACAGTATAAGTATTACAGTCATAACAAAAAACCATAAACATAGTAACATAATTTTTTGTTTTTGTTTAAAAGTTACTGTGCTTAAAATTGAGTACGCTTGTTTAATTGTCATAAAAAGATAAAACTACTTGACTCAGGTGCTGTAAATAAAAATTCCTCTTGACATTTTTAGACTGTCAAATGTTTAACTAGATAAGAGAATCAAAGAGCGTGAGACCATCAGGATGTTTTAAGAAAAAGGGTGCGACATTAAA